ATAGTAACTACCCTATCAGGAGAAGCCGTAACAGAGAACTCCCTCGACTCCAACAGGTGGATAATCTTTCTCGTTAAACAGCCTCGAAAGACAGGATTCTGGAATCGTCCCAAAGGAAAGTTGCAAGCAGATCCACTAGAATCGGAGAGGAGGAGATCATCTGGATCTAGATGGTCGCCCTAGATAGTCGGTTGTCCGGATGTCCTCGCACAGCATTGTCCTGCCCATCGGGACCGCGTCGTGGCACTGCAGATATATACCACGTAATGTATTAACGTATATGAGCGATCATGGCTTACTACAACTTCGTTTTTGGCACGAGCACATTGTCAGACGTATCATGATAGTTACCAGTTGTCCTGGCTAAAAGGCAGCGCGGAGGCCGAGGGGCGCGTAAACTGGGCCTGGGCATACATATGCAGCCGCATAGTCACCGAAACACTTCAGTAATAGGCCCCTGCAATGACTCCGGAAATACGGATTATCATGTAGCTTCGAAATATGCACACGCCCATAGCGATGACAGCTATGGGCGTGTACTTAGCCATCTATAGGATTACTCTGTCAATACTCTAACCTAGATTAATGCCCTAAACTAGAGAGTAAGGCTATAATGAGGCTTAATTTTGGGGCGACGACTACTATAGACTTGGTCCCCCCTCGTATCTCCCCTGTAGTGTTTTATATGGTTACGTATACTTAGTATAAGTGGCTTTACTTCACGTTTATCAATACTAATAATACGAAATGTGGCCATAGTAGAGAGTTACGCTTTGCTTATAGCTGCTTCTGTGCCGTTATTTAGTATATAAGTATTCAAGGGATCGTATTTAATCTTAGACTGTAGCTTAGTTGCCTTATCGAGACTGTTGTGAATATACGTCTCTCTCTATATATAATTCTCACACAGAGAGCTAGATGTGGTATAATTAAAAAAAAATTTCATAGGAATGGTTTCTCTAATGCAGACGCATTCGCATATCATGATATGATATTAGCTTAGTTTTTATTCTGTTCTAGTAGCTCTAATTTAAAATATCAAAACTTTTGCATTGCCTCTTGACAGATTATCACTCTCGGAAGCCTAAATATATGAGCTTGGTCGAGAAGTACACTCAAAGCCACGTCTACGTAGTTATTTTACAACATTCGTATAGTCAAATCATCGACCGTTCTTATTCGTTGCTTCTTAGCTCAAGACTATGGCATTGGACGAATGATGTGTCACGCTCGAACTACACCACACCGGGCATTGGACGTAGGGTCATGTATAATATTAGACATTTTATAACTCGTCCCAAATATTAGGTAGTTTCGATGCTATAGCCTCAAGGAGAGTTACCGTGGATGGGATTGTCAGCGATTATTCTGCATCGTCGTCCCCGAAGGATCTCCATGTTTCTAGCCCCAGCATTACATTGAACAACACATGACCTATGCGGCCGAGTAGCAATGTCTATTATCATTCGGCTTTTTATTAGCAGAGTCTAACCTAGCGAACTAGGTTACACGTTTTACCTATCTATTTGTTCTTGCCCGTGGGGATGGCGAATAGGACAACTTTCTTATCACCACTCTCGTCATACGCCTTGTCTACGCGATAGTATCCCCTCCGCTCTAGCTGGATGATATCGTCCTGCTTGAGCTTGGCTACGCCCTCGTCGCAGAACGCGTCCTCCTTCGTCGCCGTCACGGGGTTCAGGAATTGTTCTAGATCGTCCTCTTCCTCGAGCTTGTCCTTCGTGATCAGGTAGTCAAAGTCCCAGAGTTCCGCATCGATAAGCTTCTGCCCCTGCGTCGAGAGCCACGTAACCTTCTTTTCGGTAGTGCGAACATCTCCCTTGAGATGCAGCTCGCATGTAATGCTAGTGATTGGATCGCCGCTGGCGACAGCCCTGACAAAAGCATTGCCCCATTGCATTAGAGTTATCTCCTCGCCGTCCTTGAATGACTTGGCATCTTCCTGGTCCAGTATCAGTTCTTTGCTAAACGCTACCTTCTTAGTTCCGACGGCGGGGTTCTTAGGGTGGAGTGGCTTTTCCTCGGTACGTGGCTCAGCAGGGGTTTCGTCTCCCATAATAGCGACCTTGACGTGGTCCTTCTTGAGAATGGCGGTGTGTCGTGGCGCAACCGGGTCGATCTCCTTTTTGTTCGTGGCCCAGAAGCTAGCCCAGTCCATGGACACGACATTCCTGGACGGACCCTGCTTCAGGATGAAATCGCGGAGCGCAGCGATGGTCATACCTCGTCTACGAATACCCCGGATGGTCGGCATTCTTGGGTCGTCCCAGCCCCAGACTCGGCCGGTATCGACCAGCTTGGCGAGCTTGCGCTTGGACAAGAAAGTTCGGATAAAATTCATACGAGCAAAGTCCCACATGTACACCTGGCGTAGCTTCAGCGTGTCGAGGAACCATTGGAACTGGGGGTTTCGATCCGTGTACTCGGTGGACCTGAGGGCGTGCGTGACACCCTCCAAGCTGTCGACGACGGGGCATGCGAGATCGTAGGTGGGGTACATCTTCCATTTGGTGCCCGTGCGGTGATGCGGGTCATTGGGATTGCACCTGTAGATGACCGGGTCACGCATAGCCTTGTTCGGGTTGTCGACCGAGATCTTTGCGCGAATACAATTCTTCAGTCCTTCCTCGGTACCGTTCTTCATCGCTTCGAAGATGGCCAGGTTCTCCTCGACTGTCCTGTCTCGTCGCTTAGACGCGATGCCTTTTCCTCGCTCGTCGCGCATGGTTTCTACGTCCGTGTCATCGGAATAAGCGTTTCCGCTCTTGATGAGAGAGAGACAGGTGTCGTAGAGGTGATCAAAGTAGTCCGAGGTATATGTGACGACGTCAGGCTTGATTCCCATAAGAGAAAGATCCTCGATGATAGCATCCTGGTACTCCTCCCTCTCTTTGCTCGGGTTCGTATCGTCTAGTCTCAGGCGAAGCTTGCCATCGTAAGCTTGATGCGCAAAGTAGTCGCTGAGCAACGCGGCTTTGGCGTGTCCGATGTGAAGGTATCCCCTGCATTCCAATTAGAAATCTACCGAGTCGATATGTGCTATAGATAGGGAATACGTACGAAGGCTCAGGGAGGAATCGAGTGACAACTCCTTTGTCGGTGTCCTGTAGTGCCAAGTTGTAACTCGCGCCAGCTCGGCTAGCTGCTTGGACTTTGGCTTTTCGTGCCGAGTCGGCAGCCTTGACTTCAGCTTGGATCTCGGGGTGGGCTTGTTCGATATAGGCGAACCACCGATGAAGGTTTGCGTAGGTCCCTTTGCGGACGAAAGATACGGCAACGCGATTGCTCTTAATGGCAAGCCAGATCTTGGTGTCTAGATCGCTTAGAGCATATCCGGCAAGGTAAGTTCTCAAGGTGAGATGCTTCTCAAGTCGGATAAGGTGAGGTTCGATAGACTTGAAGTCTCCTCCTAAGGAGGTTGATACGGCTACGAGCTCGTCTGCCTTCATTTTGGCGGCCACCGTATGAACTCGAAGCTATTTATGACCTTGAATTTTAGGTGTAAGATTGTAAGTAGCGTATAAATGAGTCGACTCTGCCGGTTTGAGTCAACGAGCAGACGACAGGTTGTGGCGGGGTGACCCCACTGACGGCATAGGTCTCTTAAAAAAAGATGGGTAGAGGGGCTGAGGGGTAATTGACTGATTACCTAGATAGGTAGGTTGCTAGGTACCTAGCGATAAGATAACAAATGTGGCTAGTAATAGTGCGGCACAGGTAGGTACCAAATGATACCTATCGAGGCTGAAAACGTTACGCCTACCCTTGTCTTAAATTTGTTTCTGCATTATTGATTTCTAAAGCTTCATACGACTACGGTCTAACGACTGTCGGCGACAACAGAAGATCACAATGGCTTCGACGAGTCAATGTATCGCTTCGCTGGCGAGGCTAAGCCTCTCTACGTCTGTGCGCCCTGCGAATGCGACAATTCCTAGATTTCTGGCTCCGGCGATAGTTCAGATGAGATGCAAAAGCGCCGGCACTTCGGCTATGCGGGCGCGCGAGCGAGAGAAGGAAAAGGTCAAGAAGGCAAAGAAGCAGCAGCGATTCAAGGAATACAAATATGCCACGCCGAGCAGAGAAGAGAGACATTCGCTATGCGATGCTATGCGGTGAGTCGTGTTGTTCCATTCAAACCTGGATCCTCTGTTCTCTAACTCGTAGGAAATACAGATATCTGCGAGCCGCAGAAGTTGGCCGACCGCCATCCTCTGTTACGTACGAGCTCGCTCTAAAAATAAGAACGCCTAAGAACAGTCCGGTACTTAGAAATCGGATACGTCTGCCCTACCCTGTCAAGAACGACACGCAGATCGCCGTCATCTGCAAGGAAGGCAGCGGTGCTATGCACGACGCCCGTGCCGGAGGAGCTGTCGCGTTCGGAGAAGAATCTCTATTTGAGCTGATTAAGGCGAACCCGAGTAAACTGCCGTTCAACCGTCTGATCTGCCACGTCGATTCCGAACAAGCCCTCAAGAAGGCCAACCTCGGCCGTATACTGGGTCCTAAGGGTCTGATGCCTAGCATCAAGACCAATACCATCACCAGGAGCGTGAAGTCCCTGATGCACGAGATGGTCGGCGCCGAGAATTACAGAGAAAGGGTGGGCGCGATCCGTATGCCTATTGGGAATATCCAATTTACACCTAATATGCTCTCTGCAAACGTCAAGGCGCTCGTGGGAGCAGTGAAAGAAAACATTTCGACTTTGGAGGACAGAGTCAAGAAGGATTTGGTCGAAGTTGTGCTAACTTCCACGAACGGGCCGGGGTTCAGCTTGAATGGAGGTTTTAACTCTACCGACGAGAAGATCCAGCCCGCACATCTGAGCACAGCCATGTAAATACCTATCTATACCCCTTAAGACAGGACAGTATAAAATTGTACCATATGTATGCTTCGTATAAGTTAGATGTTCGGGTATCTTGCTAGTATGCTCTTGGAAATAATTGTGAAACCGTGCAGTCTTCGCTTAATTAGGCGTTCTTCAATGCTTTTACAGCTTCTAGTTGAGCATCTAATAGAGAATAGATGCCCATCAACTTCAGTAGCTTTGCATGTCCTCTGGCGCCCGCCTTCTCAGCTTCCTTTGATGCCGTGCCAAGGTCTAATAGGATAGTATTTCTACATCTTGTTAGCCTTTCTTCCGCTTTCCGTACGAAAGGTGTCTCCCTTCCGATGTCGTTGGCTAACTCGTCCACTACTGTATATTCGTTCGCTAACTGCGTCAGCTTTGCTGTGCTGCTTCCCACTGCTCCATCTAATTCATCCTCATCGTCTTCGTCGTCGTCGTCGTCGCTATCATCGCTATCAGGCCCCGCGCCCCCGACTGCTAGCCGACCCTCGAGGGTGGATATCCTTTCGTCGAGCTCTAGCATTTTCCTCCCGGTCTCGACCTCACTTCTCACGCCGGATAGGTCCCGGTTTAAGCCGGCGACCTCGGAACCCCTTTCTCTTACTCGGCCTTTGATCTCTTCGACAGCTCGCCGAAATCCTAAGAGCGCCACGCGGACGTCCTCGACTCTTTCCTCGCCACCCTTAAGCTCGTCGCCCAGGCTCAAGAAACTGGTGTAATTGGCATTGACCAGTTCCAGCAGTTCGGTGCTGATAGCGGCGCTCCGCTCTCTAAGGTCGGATCGCAGGTCTTCTAGGGTCTGATGGCGGTTTGCGAGGGAGGAGAGGTATTCGGCTGGGTCGAAGTCCGGAGCGAGGAAGTCGGACCGTGGGAGAGCAGTGGGAAAAGGGAGCGGGGCATCATCTTCGTTATCTGAAGATTCGGATGATGAAACTAAGACGAAACTGCGGGAGCTTAACGGTCTAGCTGATGACGGTGCTGCGAGATGGGCCATGATATCTCGAGTCTCGGTGGGTGGTTAAAAGAGTGGGCGTCGTTAGGATAAGCTAGGTCTTGTATATTGAGACATTCGAGGCGTATTTCGATCTAATATTAGCGACGATAAGTTGTTAAGCTTGGCCTGTCCTCCCACGTTGAAGATATGTTTCCTTCTAAGGATAACTATGAAATAGATATACGTTATTTATCAGCCTTAAATCGCGTCTTTCGAATATAGCTTATGCAAGTGATCGGAATATTACGAGCATCGGTCTTCGAGGTAGCTTGGGTGCTAGTTGATGCGCATGTCACGATTAAGCTAACCTAGACCAAAGTACTTTCGTACATGCAGAATTGACATCAAATTGGATGATGTGGGGTAAAGTTAAAGGTTGAGGTTACACTAAACACCAACTCACCGAGTTCACCTTTAACGGTTTACATAATTAGGTGGAACTTACCGAATTCTCCGGTACCGGCCTATGTACCTTTGATGGGGCCAAAGGAAACGAAACCAAAGCAACTTCAGCTAGAGCAAATTCCCGTCCGGTTACACCCGAACGTCACCAATTTCCTCTCATCAAATTCGACGTTCAAACGTTCCTACCACAGGTGTTTATACTGTACAGTTAATTGATCGTTGATCGTACAGCTGGACCGCAGAAACCAGAGTGGGATAAGAAGGGGCACCTAAATACGATAACTAAGGAAAGGACAAGAACCATATGCAAACATCCCTCCTTTCCGTTGGAACGAGTTCGGAATCCGACAGGTCCGAGAAACTCTAGAAGTGGATCGATGGTCTAATTTTTTTTCCTTCTTGCTGCCGAGCCTATCCTATCTTGGCCTTCCATCCCCCATGTGACGTTGTTGGCTCGGATTAGGCGAGTGGACTGCGGGTTACAGGGCCCTGGCATAATCTTATCAATCTGATCAGTGATCAATGATCTCGAACCATCAACTACCACAAGTCGTCAGTCTCGGCCCCCCCTCCAATAAAGTAAGTGACCTTACCTTAGTTCTTCCTTCTAGGTCAGATTATTCGGTAGTGAGAGATCGTCTGCATGACCCCCCAACTTCTTTTACAACCCCCCACAACCGACTGAAGAACAAAGACAGCTGTTGACTTGTAAGAAGGAAATACTCAATACTCAATACTACTTCAATTCCGGCTCAGTCAGCGAATTGATCGACTAAGGGCCTGCCAAACGATCATTCCGTTTGCCTCGTTGGTTTATTCTTTAGTCACGCCTATCTCACTCCCACGAGAGGAGCCCAGCCGCCAGTTCAATTTTTCTTCTGGACTAATTGAAATAATTACTTGGCCAAAGCCTTTAAGCACAATCAACTTGGCCCTAGTTCGGAGACCCTTAAGGCAGCCCGGCCCGCTCATTCGCGTTCAGTCCCTAGGTACATCACTTGCCTGCTACCCCCCAAGTTTGCTTGATTCGTGGGAGGGGGTCCCTAACAAACCTCCTAACCGCTTTTCTTCTTTCTTCCCTTGAACCAAGGAATAGCAAAACGTGAGAGATATACATCGATAGAGACCGGTTTCTCATAACCTTACCTATTTACCAACTCGGATACCGTCAGACTGCATCTTTGGGGAGTCGATACCACGGAAAATCCCAAGGCTCGACGCACGCTGATGTCCGAGGTGCATTGCAGCGCTGAGCGGCACGACGAATGAGATCGACTAAATGCTTTTCCTGCCTCTCTGCTCCAGAATCGGAATAACATGGCAACTTCTGCTGCTACCACGCCTTCCGCTTATCTCAACGGCCACCCCAAACCCCAACCAACCAAACTCGTTATAACCCCTATCTCAGCTGCATCTTCCCCCGCCTCAGCTGCTTCGCCCATTTCGAGCGTCTCTACGCCTACCTCAACCCACCGGCTTGCCATCAAACCCGCAGCCGCAGCCGCAGCCGCAGCCGCAGCTCTGCAGGCCACCGTAATGGCTTCAAAGGCCTCAATCACCAGCAAGGAATGGGTAGTTCCTCCGAGGCCCAAGCCCGGCCGGAAGCCCGCTACGGATACGCCACCAACTAAGCGAAAGGCCCAGAACCGCGCTGCCCAGCGTGCGTTTCGCGAGCGGAGGGCCGCTCGCGTCGGAGAATTAGAGGAGCAGCTGGAAGAACAGAAAGAAGAGTACGAGCGAAATCAGCAGCAGCTCACCGACCAAGTGCAGGACCTGGATGCCGAGGTGTCAACCCTACGGAACAGATGCGTAGTTTTGGAGGACTTGCTGGAGAAGGAGCGTAAGGAGCGCATCAAAGTATCAAGCGAGCTCGAGGACCTACGACGACGACGACGGAGAGGAGAAGATGCAAGCACGTCTTCAAGACACGGAAGTTTCGCTGCACAGCACGGAAGGCTGCCGAATCCGCTGACCATCACATCTCAGCATCCCACACCACGAGGAAGCCTCGCTAGCAACGCATCAGATCATCGCAATTCGGCAACGGCCTTTTCAATCTCGCAGATAATCTCCCCTCCTGACTCGTCGAGTCCACCGGGGGCCCCCCGAGAGTCATCGGCTGATCTTGCTGGATGTGGCAACTGCGAAATCAACGGACCTTGTGCCTGCGCTGAAGAAGTTCTTGCCAACACGGCTGTTGGATGCAACAAGTGTAGCATCGGTTCCAAGTGCGAGTGTCTCGAAGCCATGGTAAAGGATCTGGCTCCGAATTCGGAGTCCGAACTCAAACGGAAAAATTCCTCTCTGTCCGTCGTAGCCCCGGAAGAGAAGAGACAGAAGATACCTGAGCCCTATCCTCACGAGGTCGACTTCACCGCCGCGTTCGCTAAGAAGAAGGATCCCGTTCCGGAACCAATTCTATACCAAGCCCCCACTCAGCCGACAGTGCTGCCACGAGACTCTTGCGGCTTTTGCGAAGAAGGTACCTATTGCATGTGTGCCGAAGCTGCCGCATCGCAGACGCTCCCCCCGGTATCTCAACAAGTGCAGACGCCGCCTCCTTCCGAGAATGATGTCGGTCCTCATCCGATAGAAATCACGTCGACCGGCGCCGTCAAATTACCAGGTATCAACTCGCTAAATCGCACTCCAATCCCGACGGCACGCCCTTCCGGTGGTTGTGGCCCCAAAGGACCAGGTTCCTGCGCCCAGTGCCTAAAGGATCCTAAGTCCGGTCTCTTCTGCCGCAGTCTCGCAGCAAGCTTTTCCCGCAATTCAGGCACGTCTAGCGGGGGGTGCTGCGGCGGATCCGGCGGATCCGGATGCTGCAAATCTACAGAAGCAGGAACATCCACCGACTCCCCCGCCGGTATTAACCTATCATGTGCAGAGACGTACAAGACGCTGTCTAGTCATCGCAATTTCGACAAGGCAGCTGACGAGATCGGGACTTGGCTGCCTAGACTCAAAGCCACCCCCCTACCGGCGAATGCGGCTGGAAGACCACCCATTGAGGTCCAGGTAGCCAGCATTATGGGGGTCTTGAGAGAGTTTGACGTCCGGTTTGGGAGAGAAGCTTGATCTATTTAAACAGATTCACGGCTGCTGGGAGGTCCAGCTACGCGGTATGCGTTTAACGAGAGTATATAATGAGACATGGCGTCAACGGACCATCGCATCCTACGGTGTTGATAAGGAGAGGGGATGTGTCGAGCATTTCGGCCGTCCATAGGGAGTGGTCATATTGCATTGTCGGGCGGCGGTCACATATCCACGTAATCGATAAAAATGGGGTTAGGTTTCGATCTATCACGATGGTTTACAGGTACGGAGCCCCGAGGGCTTCCTAATTCATGTACATTTTAAAAATCACGGCGTCGAGTTCGAAATAGTTCTAAACACTACTCGTATGGCATTTCCTGCGAGCCTGGTTTGCGATATGGAATTTTAAATGGCATGTAGCTTGGAGGCTTCTCTTGGTATCCATGTAGAATTGCCATAGATCATGTTTGTTTTCAAGCCAGTAATGATTACTCGTTGCATTTTCTCAACACCTACCTTCGTCTCCTTCAAACTGTTATTGCCGCGTGTTCGGCTTACCCATTTAGGGGCTTTTTAAAAGCAGATTTCCCTCGGTGAAATCCTAGATATATCGTTGGAGACATGAATAACGGACTACACTAAGAACCCAGCGAGGTATTGTAAATGCAAATTCGGTAGATGTGGATATTTTGTATTGGTATAAAGGTCATATATACTATATAATTAGGTGTCCGCCACCTATTTCCCTTGCTCTAGAAGTGTCCCCGCCTCTTCTAGAGATGCAATGCAATGCTGAACCCAGATGATGTCAAACACTATAACCAATCCCGGACAGTCAGGGTCTTCTGACTGTACCCTATCGTACCATGCAAGGCATATTTACGACACTCTATAGCATATCCTCCGAAGACGGCATACTACCCTAGCAGTATGACGTTTCCCACCATCTCGGCCGAGCGGCTGACGTTCATTGCTGGTTGTCACTAGTGCTAGCAACGCTTAAAACGGCTCGGCTTAGTTCGTGCCCGTGATTTTGGGCTGAGCCTGTCCGTTGTCGCCAAAGCCGCAGCCGGTTTTGCCGGCTTGGGTCTGCGCGCCGAGGCCGGAGCACAAGCCAAAGCTCTGGCCTGACACTCCCGCGCAACACGTCGACGCGCAGTCTGCCGAGCTCAAGCACTCTCCGCCGATGAACTGGGTACCCTGTCCGTTGCCCACATTCTTAGCACCAGCTGGGTCAGGCTGGAGCGGTGCCGGGATAGCGGCGACAACTTAGAGATTGTTAGAATTAGGTTTGGTTGAAGAGGTTGAAGATAATGTGACTTACCGGAGAGAAGAGCAAAGAGGGCGATGCGGACCATTGTTTATTGTTTGTTTCGTTTCTTGAAATTATAGCAACTCGTAGCGGTGTTTGTAAAGCGAAGATGGGATGATAGGTAGGGATGAATGTCAAGCTTCGCCTAAAGGTCTGTTCTTATCACATCGACTGGAGATCCCGAGGCGATCATTCAGATGTTTATATATTCAGACGAGACTCCTATTCTACCTCTTCTCGATCGTTTCCCACGACTACCCCTGACTCCGGGTTGAGCACGGCCGTGAGGCTGAGTGCGGGTGCGTGTGTTTCTGTTACGCCTGGGCATCAGCTCTGGGACCCCTTGTTTTGATACGTCGCACATCATCTTTAGGCCGATCGAATGTTTATCCGCGAGGCAGATTACGAGGCGACCCCAGATTTGCCGGGCATTTCATGTTCTGCAGCGTTTACTCGATCACACGCCCAATAGCATATGGAATGGCAACGCGTCTGAAATGTTTGTTGTACGCGTCTAACACTACTATGCGTTACTTGACACCGCGAAGGCTACAGGGTATTTGGAAAAGCCATGCAGATAGCATCGAGGACTTGTGTAGTGTACGCAAGCTCCCCATTAGGGTGTTGGGGAGCTCGCATACACTACACAATTATTTATTTTGTCCTTTTACACATGATTTTAACAAAGTTAGGTTGGCGTTCCTTATATTCGGTAGGTAGGTTACCATCTCATTGTACTTCGTTAACTACATGTAGGGACCTAATGAAACCTCAGGGCAACGAGATTAGTATATCTTAGATCCATCATAATACCTTAATGATCTCGATCTTCAAGCTAGAAACACCAAAGAAATAACCTAGGGTCTAGATATGAGGCTTCCTAGCCAACGATCATAATACATCTTGCCAGGGGGATTTGCGATGTTAGATTCTGGTCAATTTTCCTTGCAAGTTGTCGTATGTGGATTATAAGATGGTAGCTGCGTAGTAAACATTCCGACTTCAGATGAAGACTCCAGCTGCTGCAATGTTCACCAGCGTTACCACAGCGTGGCGACATTTTGTAACGGAGGTTTCGAGAATTGTAAAACTTAATGCAAGCAAAGATGGGATCATCATCGAGATCAACATAAAAGCATCCTTTATTGCCGATCATTCAACATCGCTATTACGTACGTAATATAAAGCATTGAATAATTCATAATCGGAAACTAGAAACTTTGCTTGTCTGGGGATTGTGATACTTGGGTCGGGTTCTGAAACCATTACGTTTTTAGATGGTCCTGGTCAAATGGGCCAATCATGTCTCTCCAACTGCCCCTTTTTGAACCATGTTGATTAACAGTTGATGACTTATCACCCCTATATTTGAGGCATAGGATACAGAGTTGAAATATAATATATCGACTACGTATTCAGCAAGCCGGTCAAGTCAAAATTGGTTGTGTGATTGTTTTCGCAACTCCAGATAAACCCGAGGTTTACTTAATGACTAGATCTCACAGAAGTAACCAGATCGCACAGAAGAAAGCGCGAACATGCACAAGTACTTAAGACTTAACCCCCCTTTTTAAAAATAATACATGGTCAGATCAAAGAACGTCTTGGTGTATTTTGTTTAGTGTCTGTATTGATATATATCACCTTTGTACTATTGTATACCTATGTTAGGTAGGTACCTAAGTAGGCTTCAACTATAAACAAGGAGTGAATTTGTAGAACAGTGCTCTGCCAGGTGGAATCACCATGTCTGATCCTAGGTACCTAATAAATTAAAAGCGGCATGCCATGTACCGAAGTATTATCACGGCAAGGAGGTACATACATATGTATCCCAAGTCGTAGGAAGGTACGATATGGGAAATATCGTGATTCTAATTGCCGAGTCACTTTGTAGATACCTTGGGTACAGAACACTGCAAAGTAGAATCAGTACCCGAGCTGCAAACACGAAAATCAGCCAACTGACGGGCCGAAAAACATTGAATTGCCAATTCGTTCTTTCCAATCAACGAAATTTAGGAATGTAGTTACTTAGGATACGTCAGGATCAGGCATCAACTTGAAATCAGTACAGTGCACATCTCGACACCGCCAAATATAAATACACGTCGATGCCGACACGGTTTTCTTCCATCATCTTAACCATTCATCACAACAACTAACCACCCTTACTACAACCATAACACTTAACACCTTAATCATCATCAACCCCTACCTATTACAATTCTTCAATACTTACAACTATTAATTATTACGCCAAAGTTGTAACTAAACTCGGTATCACCTAGCAGGTGTTGTCCAAAACACGGCTTCCAAGTCATGGGGGCTCAAGCTTAAGCTAGAGCTCAGGAACAGTCCTCCGTTTCTAACTCTCAGGAGACCGACAAGCAACACAATGCCTTAACCTTACCAACAAAGAGCCCCTGGAAGACTATTCAAGAGCTAGATGTCGCTCACTACCAATAAGTGACAACCAACTAACAATCACGAAAGTATAAGAACAAACTACCTAGCCTACATTATACACCACTACAAACACAAATTATTGGTGATAAACTTGTCCCTAAGAGCCTCTGGACAACGCTAGGGAATGAGCTTATCCTCTCATCCCTGAACATCCGACACATGGGTAAGTTGTTACAACTTATTTTTTCTTTTCTTTTTTTTTTAAAAAAAAAAAACTATCATCCTTCCATCTCGTCGACCTCGATACTTACATCATACTCTTTGTACAGGACAATGAGAAGGAAAAGAAAGACAAAATAGATGAGGCTGGAGTTAAAGGCGGAGATGATGCTGAAGAAGATGAAGGCGCTCCCGTACTTGATTGCGATATTGATTTTTCAGATGGCAAGATATAGCTGAGAGGCTTTTCTAGCTATGCGACAGATTTCATTCGTCTTCAAGCCTGTGTTTGGTAAAAATGAATAGAATAAATCTCGCCTCCTAGTACGTGTTACCGTTTCAACCACCGTGGAAACATTCTAACTTCCTAATAGATAGCTTAAGTCCTCAGGAGCGTGTCTATAACAATACGGCTAATTCTACCTCCACATCCACAGATGCCTATTCTTCCACGACTAAAACTCCACGAGCCTTTCACCTTCGTCCCGCCGGTGTAACATTCATATCCACCAAATACTACAGGCTAGGTAGTTTACATGACTACTGGATGTCAACGAATTCATTGTCATTATCGCCACTAAATGCTATTATGGCGCGTGTGGGAACCTGTCAATATCTTAGCTAGTATGATAGATTGCCGGATGTAAACCGGAATTGAACCTTCTACTTGTTAATTTGTACTTTTGCTTTTACTCAGTGACTCTTCAACCCTCTCGAAGTGGCATGTTTATGAAAATAGCCTCCGTAATTTCTCATAAAACAGATGCTAATGATTTGGGATATACGGATATCAAAGAAGCTTCTATAGCTCTACCGCGTTAACGTAATATACGGGAAATTCAAGTAGGGGGACTCTAGTTAGAATTATGTTCAAGTGTTTATTCAAAGCAAGTATAGCTGTGTCTTTATCCGAGGTTTGCATCTTCTATGACGTAGTTACACTTATATTTCTTACGCTCGACGGAAACTCCCACTCCTTTACGCAGTGTCCCGATTGGACAATACCAACGAACGCATAACTACTCATCGCTATAAAAGGTTAATACTATTGGTAGGGGGCGCTAAGCTCAGTTAGAACCAAGACGAGCGACGGCAACGCCTTTGAATTTGTTATAAAGGTATAGAATGCAGTAAAAGAGTGCTGAAAGGGCCATGCCAAGGGTTAGTAGCACATAAACACGCGTGGCGTTATTCTACTTAGAGTCCCAAGACAATCAGACAATAGGGCATTATATGCTCAAAAGGATAGCTAAACAAACAACTAGTTAGTGGGTTTATCACTTGACCTCTTTATCATGGAGCTGATTTAAGAAAAAGAACATGCGCGACTTGGAAGCCTTTAGAGATAACACGAATTATATAAAAAGCTTTTCAAATCGCAATCATCTTGTATTTCTTCGCTTCCTAGCCATCCCCAGCATGATCTAGAGCTATACCGCTTACAATTACCCTTCATAGCCAACACAAACGCCGTATCTCTACGGGTAGGTCTAAGGTGTAATCCTTCACGTGCTACGATCAGACAAGATGCCGACCTTCATAACGCATGAGATGTATACCTGCTCACATATCGTAGAGACGATCCATCGAGGTTTCGGCATCGATAGCAGCTTCAGGCTAGAATGGATCCCGGTCCAGTCAAGTTGCCCATTGTGTTTCTGCAAGCTGCTCCTCGACAACTCTTACGAGCTCGAATTGGACGACGACGACGATGAAGATCGCCGCCGGATTCTGAAGAATTTGCTGCAGCCGTACAAGCAACAGCTCGCTAAGCACCTGCAGGTGTTGGTGGAGAACAAGCGGTGTGCAATGTCCGGAATCCGCGGCAGGTATTCGGGTTTAAAGCAGATACGAATGTTGGAGAAGTTGAGCCGTATGGTCTTGACGCCTGCAAGCCTAGGTGAGTTCCAGGCTACGCTTCAAGCTCTTATTAACTTCCAAGAGGGTGAGCCTCGCTACCCTACGCACGTCCAGGTTCTAGGAAACGCCATGACTATAAGAATTTTATAGTCGTGGGCAAGGCCCTTTATAGTTGGGAAGAGGGAAGCTAGGTCAAATACAATATGACTCGTCGTTATTAGTCTTATAACCTACCTATACAATACCTATCATGCATTCTTATGTTCTATATATATAGTTATACAATAAAGGGGTTCTTACTATGTGGAATACATTAATCGTATTGTTTGTCTGATTAGATTCGTGAATCGGAATGCTCATGAAGCCTTCTTTGTAGGGCATCGGCATCGCGCTAAGAAATTTGCTCTCGCGTGTACTTCTTCCAACTGGCCAGCCTTGTTCCTCAAGTCGATCGTTCAGACTTCACCCAACCCGAGTGAAGCCAATCCATAATGCTAGTAGCGATAAAATCTCATACTACTAAGGGTATATAATTAAATACATTCATTCGCCATGCCCAGCGCAATATTAAATAAAGATCAAGAACCCGAAAGTGTTGCGCTCAAGTCTCACCGTGGTAAAGCATATGCTTGCATATGTCGAGCCGACCGCATGCTTCTTTGAGTAGTTCAGAAGGTGACTCGGATGTAAGAGTACCTATAGTGTCGAGCAAATTTGACAACCCATCTTGGAGGTTTGCCTGAAGGTTCGTCGTCGAAGTGTCGAGTTCCGAGAGTTTAGTCACTTTACAAAGGTAGTCAAAAGCCCCTGTTGTATTCCGCTGCAACTGCCGTGGGAATGGTCGGAGGGTATTGGATTGATCTTTCGATTGAGTGAGTGCTCGTACGAAAGACCAGATGCTTAAGGTAGCATAATACATAATCCACGGTCGATGAGGATCGGGATCCCGCCGACACGAGTATTGTATCCCATAAGTATCAATGGGGGTATTCGCGTAGCCGTTGTTCCTCTTCTGGCGGGGGTCCACGAGAATGCGATGAAGAAGTTTGAAGGCATGGAGTATTGCGTGGCGGGTGGACATTTGATTTGACCACAGCGACATTCGCGCCACGACATTAGTGTAATCCCGAGTAGAGATTTTGCGGCCGAGTAACCGCTTAGCCCCAGTGTAGACTTGGCAGTCAACAATGTCGATGTACAGGCTAATATGAGCGAGATGGTATAGAACAGACGCGCTCTGGATGAGCCCGTTAGAATGAGCTTGCGGTCCAGGGCCATCCGACTCAGAGTCACTTGAGCCGATAGCCTGGTCGAAACTGGTCTTCCAATCGTCAAATGCTTTCAGAAGCATATTACACCACTTATCCCTCGTGTCCGAGGAACTAGCTCCTAGCTCAAGCCACTTTAGATGCGTGTCGCGATGTCTGAGGTGCCAGCCGACGCTCAGAAGGCCACACATGATAATCATACGGCCGAACGCGTGGGTTCGGACTTCCTTCCCGTGGATGGCACATTTCAACCCGTCCAAAAACGAGATGGGCTTGACGCCATATAATCTAAAATTCGAATCGTGATGACGAACTATCTCGGGACTCGACGCCGACCACAAAGACTCGTCGCAAGGTAAGGGTAGGCGTATTTCGTGAGGGGCCATGTCGGCTGCGTGCCCAAACATCGCAGCGTGAACGATGTCCATCATGAACGCGGCGAAAACCACTCTATGCATCGATTCCGTCCTGGCCCATTTTACCCACCACGTCCTCGCATCTGACGTCGCAGGGTGCTCCGTTCCATTCTGTTCGTCGGATGGCGAGTCAGCTCCCGCCCCTCCAATTAAGGGGCTACCTCGTCTAAGCAGCGTCAGCGTTACCGAGTGGTAGACGTGTGCTCTCTCGTGCAGAATCCTGGATGAGTACATCTTCTCGTAAAATTCCACTAGGAGTAAAGCCTGGGCGACCCAGAGGTCGACCGGCGGAGACGCTTCGTCGGCGGTCAATATTTCGAAACGAACGTTAGAGATGATAAGGTCGGCCAATGCTTTATATTCTGGCAGTTCCCGGCTAGATTCGCGGCTGTATATCTGAGCGGCACCCAAGGCAATCATCACCAAGAGAAGGAGGATGGAGCATTGAGCTGAAGAGAACGTCGGCTGATGAACGATAGGAAGCCTCGGCGATACAAAATCCCAATAATGCCGCAAGCAATCTCGCAGAAATTCCAAGCTTAGACCTGGTATGTCGTCGCTGGTTTCGTGCATCAAGTTGGCTAACTTGGAGTCGAACCTGTTCTGTTTCTGATGGAACAGTTTAACATATCGTAGGACATCCACGCGGCGATACTCGGAAATAAGCTCGTCGGGCATGTCGGGATGTCGCGGGGGCGTAAGATCAAGCTGGGACCGACTAGCGAGCGATTCGTGATCGTAATGAATATTATTATTGAATGGCGACTCCAGCCCTCCTTCGAGAAATGGTATGCTGGCGAAGCTAAAGTCTCGATACGTCTGTTGAGGGTCAAACAACCAGACGCCAAAATTTTCACGAATCTCCAGCTCGTTCGCATTAGTCGGTACCGGCACATTATGATAAGGAACGAATGTGGAATGGTCGTGCATAGGTGGCTGTTCACGACTGTAGAAGCCAGGCTTCTGGCGAATGATGTTGACGCCATCCATCGGGGACGTCCACGGGACGCTATGCGCCAGCGGACTTGGTTGCGTAGGCGCCATAGGAGGCGGCAAAGGCGGATGTTGAGCTTGAACCGGAGAGTCAGAAGTCAAGAGCACAGCTGCGTTCCGCGGAGCACTCGCGGGCTGCTGAGGAAATGTCGCCGACCGTGGCGGCCCTACAGCATTCGTAGCGATGCTAGGTGAAGGCATCATAGCTATCTCCTGGGGGGATTCCTTAGTAGACATACTAAAGCTGCTGGTACGGTTCCTCGGAATATACGAGGCCGAATGGCGCTTCTTATGGCGCGCCAGCAGATCTGGCCTCACAAAAGTTTGCGTGCAGTCAGGGACATCGCACGTATAGATAGTCTTGGGAGCATCTTGGATTCGCGTTAGCATTGTGTTATTACCATCGACGCAGATCCACAACTAAGAATAGATGATCTGCGGTCTTAGGATCTCTAGTCTTGGAATCTCTCTTAGCCTTACGATTCAATTGATGTCTCTGAAGATGCTCAGCTCTCGAATACATCTTGTCGCACCCGGGCCAGTCGCACGAAAATCTTCGGGGAGCTCCCTTCCGGCTCGCTCGTTTGTATGAACCCCCGCCGCCGCCACCAGCAGCATTCCCTCCTCCTCCTCCTCCTCCTCCGTCTCCTGGTGATTGCTGCTGGGACTGCTGGGACGCCATTTAACCGCGACATCGCTCGTCCATAATATCGATAATATCGCGATATCGTAATATCAGAGACGTACGACTTGCATATGCGCCGAACCGTTCCGCGGGGACTCTCGAGATGGGGGAAGACGCAGGGAGGGCGCAGGCAAGACTAACAGACTAAAAAAAAAAAACAAGCCGGGGAGCGGAGTCGATGGGGGTCCAGCCTGGTTTTCTACGGCTTTTTACAGGAACACGATTGCGCGACATTTCCCTCCCATTTTCTCGGGACGGCTGGCTGAGATGGGAATATTCGCCAAGAAATCCGACGCGGGGGCTGCCCCCTGCCCCGAGAGTCGTGGGGGGCGTCTCCAACTCTTAATTATCCGGGGTAGAATCCCTTTTGTTGTGTCCTAGCGTCGCGTAAGCCGTGGGGGTTTTCGAGCATACCTACCTAGGTACCTACTGACTACAGTACGGATTACGCCCCTTGCAATAATGTTATTCAGCAGACCCCTAGGTTAAAGCTATGTACTTCGCTGAGATCCTGAAGCGTATGTCTACTGCCGCCCTATAAGGTTATCGTAGTTCTTCAAAACGTTGTTTCAGAGTATTTTATGCCGTAAAACCCTGATATAATACTTGATATGCTTTAAAGGGCGTTGTTCTATTTAGAATTAGAAGCCGTGGTTTATATCGTGCGCGTCCAAAAAACTAAACATAATTATTACAAAGGGCGTACTTCGTACTGCATATAAAAATTTCCAACTTTTCCTATTTTATAAGTTTGAAGATAATATAACTAAGGTAGGTAGGTAGGTAAAGAAAATAAAGAACTAGCTTAGTAATACTAAAAGAGCTAAAACTAATAACGTTATCCTATGACGAATGATGCTTCTTGTATTTATTTTCAAGGACAATAAATTAATCATTCACCCACGTCTAACTCGTCCGTTTTGCTAATAGGGAATTAGAAACAGATACCTAATTAGAAATTATAGAGATCTAAGGTGTGCCATTGAAATGCACGATTCACTGTCTCGGGCTTAGCCTCGGCTCTCGATCGACCCATGTAGCCCATGTATTTTGTGCTCTGGTAATAAGATGATCACTAATTTCCAAAGCCAGAAATTAGGGACTCCAAAACATGACCTTCGTGAACAAAGATGGCAATGCTTTGTACATCAAAGATAAAGAAATTATGCTTTCACTAACCTATTTCAAAGCTTCTCAACTGCTACTAGTTAATCTTCTCAAGGCATTTGAAGAATCTTTAACACCCAGTTTTAAAACCATTTACTAAGCAATCCTATCCAATAAACTAATTTAGGAAAGCTGGCAGTTTAGACCTATGTTGCTATGCTAGAACTACATATATTCTGACCGGCAGCTTTTATTAGAAGTGAGAGAGTACCCAAGATGTGGTGATACAGATAGACTATTAGACAAAAGAGTCTGAGGGGTCTCGCCAGAATAGTTTCTAAATTAGGATTCCCAAATTCACCTATCTCTATCGTAATAATGAACCTATGACTCATTTACAATGCTCAATACTTTATCGGGTAAGTGAATTTCTCGGAAGTATCGCCAATTACAAATGAGCCAGAGGTGCCATGAGTTGTCCGGGGCTGAATGCGTCTTTGAAGAACATCATGCCATAAATAATAAATATTGTAGCTCCTTGACTGCCTCAGTGAGGGAATCCAATCTATATTAATAGTATGAATACCTAGACAACACACCTTCCATACTAGCAATTTCTAGCGAATATATGTAATTAACCTCTATTCTATGTTTATTTTAAACTTTCATTTACACCTGGTTTATTCCACAACTATTTATGTATTGCACTAAAATTATATTCTTCGGATCAACGTTATATACAGTACCTAAGTTAAAGCTGTTATAATAATAATGGCTTGGTGTGGCAACTTATTTACCTTATTAATCAAGCCAGTCATCTACTTTTTCAACCAGCCAAGCCTATTACGTCACGTTCGAGATATTCTGCCTCGAACTTTTAATAACAATTTGCTGAAATTCGAACCTGAATATGCAGACGATAGCGATAGACTAGGTAGTATTTTACGGGAATCTAAAAAGTACGCCACAGTCTTCATTTCGATCGAAGCAAAAGTGTGGAATCAAGATCACAATAAGATTACAGATATTGGATTATCGACATGGTATACTGGCAGTTTTGATCCCGGCAGATATTCTCACTATTGGCAAGTCAAAGACAACTTATCATTAAGAAACGAATGCACAGCCAACGAACCGGACACATTTATGTTTGGCAGCACTGGGCTGGTTGAAGAAGGAGCTGACATAGCATTGATTCTAGATGCTATGTTCAAGTCATTAATTTCTCAACCTCAGAGGGTAGCTATTGTTGGACATGACGTCCACTCTACAATAGGGTTGCTTAAAACCTATTGGGAGCCGCCTGGCTCTATCATGATTCTTGATACACAAAGGATATGGCAAGTTCAATATGGACGAGTAGACAAGGTTACACTCGAAGATGCGCTGGACATGACCTTAGGGGCCGTGTATAACAAATGTTGGCTTCATAATGCCGGGAATGATGCGCGGTTTATATTAAATTTACTTGAAGCGCAAGGCGGGTTAATTCTTCGAGCTCAGAACGATGTTGGTTTAGATTTTGAACACGTTCTACGTTAGTACTAACTTCATGCACTATTTGAACTATATAGCTATAATATTCAGTAGAAAGTGCTCTATGTAATGAATTAGGGATCCACGGAGTTTGGATCCTCACGGAATGTGACATCAACTATTAGCTCTAATTGTCCAAACGCATCCCGTAGAGGCTGATCCTCAGCAACAACAATTGGCACTTTATCGTTATCCATGCATGGATTTGAAGTAATTCCATATGTCTGCCGCAATCTGTTGTGAAGTGTACGCATAGAGTGTATGCTATCGTATGCTTGGGTAGAACGCTCATGGCTGTTTTCTCTGAAAAGACATTCCCAGCCAGCATCGAAAACCATCTTGCTACTGACGGTTAATCTTGGATCTAGGATAGTTGTGTGAAGCCATTCTAGGGGCGAACTTTTCTCATTCCAGAATATTGACAGAATTATGGAAATATTTCCGCTTGAAATGAGGTGATGAGACATGGCGGAGGTCCCTCGACACTTTAATTGCAATATGGAAACATTTTTTAGAGGATATGCCTCTTGCAAGATATATCCTTTATGAATCATCTTCCCTGCTGCAACCGTGACATGCAGCCCGGAGAATGCAACTGAGGTATGACGTCGCAGTATCTCAATGTGATTCTCGACAAACCGTTCGGTAAGCAATTGAGGCGAATCTAAATCTAAGATCAACTTCGTTGATTTTGGGCGTGCCAACACTGGGTATGAATTCCCAAGGTATAATTTGGAGGAAGGATGGTGTGCCCTAAGAAAAATATCGTGCTTTAAATGACGTAGAGCAATCCAAATCGGAAAACATCTTCGCACTTGAATTCCACCGCGTTGTTTGGAATGTTGAGCTTCCCGGTACAGTGCCCTAGCACAATTTAGTCCCGCGAAAATAATTCCTCTCACACAGGTGGTGATAATGGTAAGATTGATAGAGATCCCTAGGTTTGTGATGGAATAAGCAGTTGGTTGAATTTCGTAATCCCTAACTATTGAACCACAATAGCGGAATTCGGAAGGGGAGGCTGCTAGGGCACCTGTAAAAGGATGAGAAGCCGACTGTAGCAAATCCCAGGCTAGGATACTTTGATCGTCGGAGACTTTAATAATCTCCCGCTGTAGTCTTACGAAGGCCTTTTCTTTTTCGCCATATAATAGTGGCATGTTGACCTTGAAAAGCCCAAGAAGGCAATATGCAATATCCTTAGGCCGGGTTGTCTCACGGCCGGCTGCCCATGACATTCGTTGGGCTATGGAATAGTCATAGATTGTCGAATAGTCCTTTAGAACAGTGACGTGAATTCTCGTGATATCCGAGATCATGCCAGCCAGCTCGCTCTTGTCACCGAGTACTGTCCAACGGTAATCGAAGAAGATGACCTTTCTCGGGGCAAGTAACTCCTGCAACGTCCAACCCCTAGTGAACCAGTGACTTTTGCAAAAAGTATCAGTATTTGCTTCAACATCGTGTAGGCATGCATAACACACAGCCGAGTCGCGGTACCATGCGAACATGCTATTGATAGCCTCACTTAGTTCAGCAGAGCTACTCTTATCGATGCAGTTGGTGTCACACCAAAGGTACTGCAAGCCATCAGAACGCGCGCGACGGCATGCCCCCACGATCTTAGTGTAGCCCTCTTTACGTTTGATGGTGATATCGGTGGCGGCGCGCTCCCACTCTTGTAATGTCACCTCTGCGTCGCCCTTCCATGTGTGCGATAGGATGGCGTACGGCGGCGCCTTGTCGCTGAAAAACTCCTTGAGTTCAAGGGTGTTGACGTCGATTAGGCGCATGGTAAGAGTTTGAAATATGAAGATAATGTTACTGAGGTGAAGATGCCGATAACAAATATCAAGGTGGGTGATACGTACTGGGATAGAAGACACTCTGGTCCTGGAAATGCTATAGAGCAAGAGGGAAGACGCAGTATATAGGAAATTGCTTCATGAAGCTATGATGATCAATGTCATTCATTACTTACCTGGATATTCAGCTCCTACAAAATGAGTGAGAAAATGATAAGTGGGAAGTTAAAGGTCGTAGTAGACGATCAATTCTCACAAGGAACATAAGGGATCGTGTCTCGGAACAACCTCAAGGGTCTCCAGGACACCGCTTCGGAAATAGACCTGTAAAATAATGTATTGAGACGGGTATACGAACAATATGATTTGGAAACTCATTTAATATTCATGCCTGACGTCGCCACTGACTAGTTGTGACTTATCAACTCTACCTGAAACTTTTCTCTAGACCTGTCGAAAAGTAACATCTTCGTTAAATATTATAGGTCAACGTGGGCCTCTCATACAGCATCCGGTAACCGCACAGCGATGTCCCCTGACTGAGTAATATATCTAACCCAGGGCAATGACGGGTATTGCAGCTAGGGATGAGGTTAATACGTATGTAGCTAGGTTAGAAAACGGGTAACATACCTTAGGCTCTGTGATCTTCAAGTAACGCACTTGAATACCGCTAGTCGTAAAATAGGGGATTTCAAACTTGACCTGAATTGGCCTCTTGGCGCCTTTGCCTGCACTGACGCCGCCCATGCTTCCACCAAAACCACCTGTCATTCCTCCTCCGTGCTCGTCGTCACCTCTGACGCTAGGCAGTCCCAGCTCAGCTCGCATGAGGAACTCCTTGCCACCACCGAACTGCTTAATCTTCCATACGATGGCGCTCTGCTCAGGGGCGTAGTGAACACTGCCGATATTTGTTCGGAACCGCGGTGAGTCGGCGTCGTCAGGTACTGGGACAATAATCTCGACGTTGTTGGCTGTACTCCTCCTTTTAAATTGCGCCTTTGCTTTCAGCATATACTCGATTCGGGACCCCGAGTGACTCTCGACCACACATTCGACCCAGATCAGAGGCTTGACTTGGGTGTTTAATCGGTAGCTCATCAGCTCAAACTCGCCGTCCGGAGGGATGAAAGAGATGGTCCGGTCATTCTCGAAGCGTGATAACCGAACACATTGGTGAAACTTGACATCCTCCATCTCGATAGCCTTGCCTCGCGTCGTCCTTCCAGTCGTTTCGAACATGACCTTGTCGTTTAACCCCAGCCGCAGTTCTGGCATTCCTGATAGATAACACTTCATCTTGATCGCGCCGAGGATCTCCGACCTTAATACGTTCCCGTTCGCCGATACTAGTAAGTTCAAGCTTTCGACGACGTCCAAAAACACCTCATTCTTCCTATATCTTATGCCTTCGGACCGCCACGACACGGCATTAGTGACGGCAATAGGTGGCCGAGCTTGCACTTCTAGCTTATGCGACTCCTGGGTGATGTACTCCTGGAGAATCTTGGACTCTGTCGTTTGGGGGTAACCAAAATCCATCATCTCGTCCAGCAACTCGTATATAATGACAAAGTTGTCGCGAATCGACTCCTCTTCTAGCGCTTTGAAATACTCGGTAAAGACTTCGACAACTTTATGTAAGAAGAGTAGGATCTCGGCGGCATTCGTGTTTCGCTTCGTCAGGGCAAGGAGATAGAGGTTGTTATGTCGGATATATAAGTACTGCTAGCAATCAATATTGGATACAGAAAGGTAGCTTCTGAAATACGCACGTTGATGCCTTCGTGTGAGAAACATGGCGGTACGGCGGAGGACTCTTCTTCGGCTTCGCTAAGGAGGATAGGGAACTTCTCGACAGCCGACATGGGAATATCACCTCGATAGTTTCGGGCAAGTAGGGTCTATGGACGTGTCAGCAAGCGTACACCACCAGAGATTATAGCGTTGTAATGGTCGCACTTTGCCCTTCAGATCGAGGAAGAATACAGCTGATGCCATGATGTCGGTCTAGAGCTTGATTCAGGGGTGCGAATAAGAAAGGGTGTCAATTGGCACTCGGGCCAGACAGCACGCTTCAAGAATTCTCAGTCATTCAACGAATAAATTACGCGTAGTTCCTAATGCGCATATGAAGTGATAAAGTATTTCGTAGATAAAGTAGAGAAGCTCTTCGCCAAGTGAAAGATGACTATTTCGGTAGATCGCATGCCGCACAATTCGTAGGACAGCTTTCGAGACCCCACGTTGCTTCAAGTTGCTGAAGTTCCATGGATGGTGGAAGCCAAAGACCGACTGGGTCTCATCCCTTATCAAGCCACATACACTAGCCTCACCTTAGCCTTATGCATGGATTCTGTGTACCATTACCTAAAATTGTGGGTATATTTTAAAGTCATGTGACAAAGCGGAGCCTGCTTGAGACCCACCAAATTTTTCTTTCGCGATAACTTTCCAAACACATTTTTTCTTGCCTTCTCTTTCTTCCTTTCTTCTTCAACGCGTCCATTAGACAGTGCAGCTCATTATTTACAACACAATTAGTTCCGGCATTCTGTTGGTTTCTTACCGTGTCGTCGTTGGTGTAGCATGCGATTTCGAGACGCGGAGAAGGATTCAATTTGAGATGGTGCCATAAGAGCTGCCCGAGTATTATTTGCCGTATTGGTAACATATTGTTGCTTGGGCGGCGTCAGAGGGACCGAACATACTATTCTTGACTTTTATTTGCTTATTTCAGTCGTGGGAGTGCGTAGTATTACACGCGCGGCTAGTCTAACACTATGTATATGCCTCAGATTCGGTTGTCATCCGTTTGATATTCGTATGAGGCACAGTTTGCAGCCGAGGCCTAGCAACGACGAGTGAGACATTTAGCAGAATGTTTCATGGTTATTATGCTTAATTGTAAGCGGCTGATGATTAATAAGTATGAATATAGGAGGACGATATGGGTCCAGGTCTTGATTCTAGTTTCGTGACGTTCGCGCCGTGAATGTTCGACTCGGATTTATTAATCATTCAGTCAATTGCGCTGCGAGTCAATCAATTTTTATCATGTCTGTGTCTACTACGCATTTAGCCCATATGTTATATCGTCTAAAGTTTCAGCTCGAGAAGCGTTGGGATTTGAGTTGAATCCAACTTAATCCCACTTAGTCGGCAACTAATATCGTCAATTCGCTCGCGCGGTCTGTAGCTGGGACCGAGGGTGCTTCAGTGACGTTGGGATCTACAACATCTCCAAGTGGAACTCGTGACTACCTAACAAAGCGTATCCCTTGCTAACGGGCTACGGACTACAGACCACAGCCACTCAGAGCGAGCTGGAAGAATGTGTCGGATGAATCGAACGAAAACACATGTTAGGAAAGGATAGAAAAGAGGTTGAAAGGATCTCAGATGAGATATTATTTGCTCGTTCGATGCCGGTCTTCCACAGGGCGTCGTGTCTCAGACCCTAAGGGGAGCGAGCAATTATCATATGCTTTTGTCTCTCTTTTTCTCTTTCACAGTGCCAACAGCGATGGATCAGCCTCTACTCCTAGTGGCCAAGAGAATATCAGTTGCATGTGATCATTTGGACACAATTAAACCATACAACTTAGGCTGGTTGACACGTGCTTGTACCTTCTCAAGTCGTTCCTCATCGGTAAACGTCTGCCAGCTCCGATGATCTATTGCTTTTCCGGTTTCATTATTGCAGCATATGATTGCTTCGGGAATTCTTTTAGTTATTTGGGTCTCCTCAGGCCATCGTGTTGTAATGGCGTTGATAAATCAGTACGTCGACGAAATCATGCCCGCACATGTCAAGGCGGCCGGGTTTACCCACGGATATATAGCATAATAATCACTTTTCAATTTTCGTATTCCGCCGACGAGTCGTTTTAGACGGAAGACCGGCGTGACAAAAGGTTGTATACAGCGGAACGATTTTGACCTCGATTGGGTAACTGGCTCGCTCGTGTGGTAGGTAAATCGTAAGGTAAGGCTTTCACAAGCCGATCGGGTCTATACGGTGCGTAATACTGTACATATACTTCCGTGCTATCTTTGGGGAAGCTTAATGTGGACTTATTACACCATCAGACTAATCACAACTAAGACCGACCTAAGATTGACCAGTCAAAAGTCGCCATCCTCTATAAATACTCCACTTAGACCCTGCCGCTTACCGCGTGCTTTGCCTCTTCCCCTGCGGGACGAGGTAGCAGCAGTCGATGGCCGCCTGACCAGTCGAAAATACCACTGAAAGGGCCTCGCTTGAGCAATTGCAGAATTCCTGATAGGAGGTTTGGCTTTCCCGTTTTTTGATATTTGGTAACGATACTTTGGTAACCACCCCCAAGTTCGAGTTCCAAGTTGCCAAATGCGCAAACCTTTTCCCGCCAATTCCCACCTCTTTTTTTTGTCTCTTCGCAATCCAGGTTCACCGCGGTCCACTACGGCCCACCACGAGCACCTGCATATTGGATGGCCTGGGGACCCCATAACTTCATGTATCTCTCTTGACCAGGCCTGTCTCTGACATCGCTACCTATTAACTACTCTGGACCCTTTTATCATCTTTCACACCGAAATCTGATCAGGCCTAACCTTTTTTTCACTGTACTTACTATTATCTACCGAGACATTCGTAACTACTTCTCTTATTTTCACTATTCACTTTTCACTTTTCACCATTATCTGTCTATTATATGAACTACGGCTTTTTTCTTCATCGGTCGTGTATTTGTTGTATTATTTTCTTCGTATAAATGAATAATCAAGTAATTTGATTCGGTAAGTCAACCGATCTTCCGACATCAGCCCAACCCAACGCTCTCAACGAAACCGCTCGCCTCATTTGTATAGTACTATATCACCTTTCGATATCAATGCGCACCCAATATACATGATACCGAGCCTCTCCGAATCAAATATATCGCCAATGCGCAAATGATCGCCAAGTATTTCCGTTCCCCGCGACCTATCGCCAGCTAGGGCGTCTTCGATAGAAGCGCTTTCGGTCGTGTTCCATCAGAAACGATGGAACAGCAAAATCACATGTCCCTTCCGCCGCCGTCGCATCACGATCAAAAGCATGGACTTCAACACTCTATACCTCAACACGCATCACCGCCGCTAGACCCGACGGTCGGATTATTCGCTCCGTTCGATCGGACTTTTAAACTTCCACTATATCCTCCACCGTCTTACGCACAGTCCCACGACCTTGTCGGCTTAAGGTTTCCCGATCCCCCCAAGACTGAACTCGCTCCCATCAAATCGATAAGTCCGCCGAGCAGCGACGAGAAAGAACCTGACGGCAACAATCATCTCCCATCACTATCAACTCTAACAACTTCATCCGCCCCCTTGTATACTCCACCCCAACCTTCAGAGCCGGCATACTCTCCTCCGCCGCCGCCTCTCACTCATTGGCCGAGTTTAAATCCCTTAACAGCATATTATAACCCAAGCCACGCGCAGAATGCCGACTCGCCTATGCGGATGGATGTAGACGCAAGCAGCAGCAGTGGCGTAAGCGCCCCGTCGCCAGATCGCTTCCAAGAAGGAAGAGCCAGTAGCGTTAGTTTAGACGATCCAGACGTACGCATGGCAGCCGAAGCCCTAGGTGATCTAAGAGCAGGTAAGCTATTAGTAGTCATTTCTCATGTGTGATAGTTCGTTGTCGCATGCGCCACCTGCATGTTTGATTGCACAATATTAACCTTGGGCAACGTTTGCAGATTTCGTGTCTTCCCCGCCGAACAACCACATCCCGGTACCTGGTTCGCCACGCTCTCAAACGAACGGTATCCATCCGGAGCCGCTCATCTCGCTACTAACTACATCGCATCCCTTACTTGCCACAACTATCGAGGGTGCCACTTCCGCTTACGTCAACTCTAAGAACTACTCACCGAGGTTCAAGTCGAGCGCCGAGTATGTCGAGGGTTACGTGATTCCTATCGCCAATACCGTGGGATCGGTCGGTCGCGTAACCGGCGTAGAAGGTGGCGTTCGATGGTTCCTAAGCGGTGGAAGAAGGCACAAGTCGCAAGGTTCCGATCTCGAAGCTGCAGATTTCGGTTCTAACAAACGCCGGAGAGTCGACGGGTCCGGTACCTTCAAGGAACCTACCCCGGAGCCCATATCTGGTACGCAAACACCGAGGGCATCCTTCGACAACTCGCGCGATCGTCGGCTCTCGGTCGCAAGCACCGTAGACACCTTACCGGCGTACGATGATCTTCGATCTCCACCATATGCCGAGCAGTTTGCGCCGTCCGAATCACGCCCGAACAGCGCAGCATGGCAATCTCGTCTTATCATGTCCACATCCGGACTGAGCATCGCTATGAGCGAGGAAAGCTTGCGTAGCCTCAAGTACTGTCTAAGCTGGCTTCGCTGGGCTAACGTGCGCATCGGAAACGTCATCAATTCTCTGAAGTCTACCATGGAGAAGTTCGAAAGGGCCGAAAGACAATCGGATGGTGACCATCCCATGAACGGTACATCCAATGGCGAAGTCGCCGACAGGAACCAGTTCGCAGCGAAGATTGCAGACCTCAGGATGGACCTGCTCAAGACCCTTCAAGATGTCATCAACACGGTCAGCAGGTACGCCGGCGGTGCGCTACCGGAGAATGCGCGAGAGCTTGTTCGACGACACCTAACGAGCCTGCCTCAAAGATTCCGAGTTGCAAGCATGGTCGGTGATGGCCAGCAAGATGTTCGTCGCCCCGAGGTTGATGGAGAAGAGGGACGAGAAGCGCAAGAGAAAGAGACGCGAGAAAGTGCCCAGCGGGTACTAGTTCTCGCCAAGGAGGGACTCGACATGATGTCCCAAGTATCGGGGGTTCTGGACGGAACCATCGTCAGCGCCGAGGAATGGTGCGATAGGTTAGGTAGGAGGAAGCGAGAGCAGCGAGAGACTCTGCTCGGAGCTCCTCACATACCGCAGACGCCTTTGGACGAGGTAAAGATTGGGTAAATGATATGAAAATATAGTACGAAAACGTATGGCGTTCCACGGGGAAGACAAAAAAAATGATGCACATAAAAAACTGGTTGATTCAAAAACAAGCGAGGAGAAAACACCGAGAGACGAGACAAAGAGCCAAGGTCTAAATTCGGCTAACTGGCATAGGATTCGGACCTTGGCGTTGCCGGACGGGACGGCTCACCGCTTCCTTCCCGGGGTTTACAAATTTGGTCCAACTTGACCTACAACAATTTTCTTGCTGTCAGGAATCTTGCTGGAGATACAGCTTATACCCACGCAGCAGATAATCAAGACGCCTCATCAAGCGTCGCGGTTCTGCTTTTGCTGTCCCTTCCGCAGATTTTGTTTCTATTCGACGGGTTATACATACTACTAGGACGATTCTGACTTTGTGATTTTCGCGAGATTTCCTATCACGGATTAACAGCATTTGATCTTCAGAGTATTCAGTCTCTGTCTGTACTTTCTTCCCTGGAGACCAGATGGTTGGGGATTGTGTCCAAAATACTACCTGCACATACATAGCGTCGTTGCATTGCCGTAGAGACTGAATAGATACCAGTTTACGTTGGCGGCCGATATTTATCTAATTTCGATTATATATTTGACATGAATCTACTTCAGGTGTTTCTTGAGTTCTATTCCAACCTGAGTCTAATGTTCCTAAGGTAATCGTAGACGGTTCGTGAGTCTTGTCAAGTATCCAGAGCAAGGAAGAGTAATTGATATTCAAATCCAAGTACGACGTTCACACCAGCCATACACGGTGGTAATTAGCCTCGCTACTGGGTGTAGTTCTCGGCCTTAGCTAAGGGTTAGTTTACTGCATGCTAGGAGTACCCTATTATCCAGAATCACCAAAATATACAGTTAACAATGTCGATATGAATTACCCCCTGGTTTGACTCTGTCAGTTTAAGGCTCTTTAGTAGTTGACATACGATACGTACTTGATGTTCGAGGGATTACCGGAGGATCCGTATCATGAGCGAGTAGTATAATATTTGTGCGAGAGAGAGAGAGAGTATGAGCAGAGCAAGTTTAATTTCTGAATCTTGAGTACTTTTGATAATGTAAAGCCCCTATTTGTCACTTGGAAGTTATGGCTGCAGACTCTTGTCTCAACAACTGCATTCAGTACAGTAGGTATGCCAGATGCACTTCTGGAAAGTTAAAAAAGAAAATATAAAAAAGCTCGGAGCCAGGTTTGAACCTAGGACCTACGAAAAACTACTTTGTAAATGTCGTACTGTCAAGTCACGGGCATACCGGTCCAGCATATGACACCACGGTGCAGTTGTTCTCTAGCCTCATGTCACCCAGGGATACTTCCTTTTTGCGGGGTCGGCTGGTAGGTTTGCTTCTATTAGGATATATAAATCTTACTTCCTGAGCATGTACTTTGGCAGTTGTACCTTGTTGCCTAGGAGATCTGCTTCTGGTACCTTATGAAACCATTTCGAACCCGCATAGCAACGTCGTCAACAATGACATTGTTGTAGTTGATAAGACGTACGCACGTCTTCTCAACTATAGCTGCCAGCGCATAATAGGGTCTCTAATCAATACCTTACAAAATTAAGCAATATAATTCAAAGTCTTAACTACGCAAGGTATCAAAGACGTTAAATACCAAACAGACGGTAAGTGTTATCACAGGGACTTTGTTGTAGGGAAGCAAACTGATAGTTGACAAAGGCATCATACTAGGATGAAGGGGTAGAAACAACGGGAAACAAGCCTCTAATGCAATGTCCCGGCGATACCTTATAAGCCACAGGAAGACCCCGGGTTTGATCGTCCAGTCTTTTCTGCATCGAGCAGTCACTTGACCTAAAAGCCTTTTACTTGAAACGATACTGGTAAAGCCATCTAGTGTTGAACAATCGTGCTGTTCGCAGCTGTCTTCCGGAAATCGCCTCTCTTCGTTTAAGCCAATTCAGACAATGGATCAGACAATGGATAAGTATACGTCGCCGTGCCCATGCACCACCCAACTCACGAGAAGCAAGAGTTTGTTGCGCAAGTTCCTGGCGTTACGAAAGCCAACTATAAAGCGAACTCGGTCCGGAAGGTGCTCGGAATGCAAGATAGCACCGCATCGTGAAGGCCAGGTGTTATATCAGCTTCCGGAGGACGTCGAACAGCTCGCGGGGAGGACAAACCCTCGGCAAGATGTGAGAGGACACGATGCAGATAACATCGCGTGTCGCCTCTCGATTATCTCTATGGTTGCTAGGTTTACCCATGGCCTGGAGCATGAAGAAGAGATCGATCTTGCGGAGAGGGTTTATACACAGCTGAAGATGGAGGGCAGCCCGTTAGTCGATATGAGATGGGTAGGCGGCTTGGATAAACTCCCAGATGTGGTGTTTGAGCACCTCCATACGGTTATGAAGAACCAGCTCGGATCATCTTATAGCTTCGACGATTCTAACGAGGAGTAAATATTCGTTTAGTTGAACGATGAAGATGGTAAGTACCCTGGGTAGGTACATTCTGTGGCTTTTCTTTTGCCCGGTTAGGACAATGATGTAGCATTGGAGTAGGTATTGATTTGAGCGTTAAACATATTAAGTATACCTTCAGCATATTGTTATGTGTGCTGATGGCATTAAATTCTTAATAAAGTATATAATTTTTATTATTTAAATAAGTCCCGGTATTAACAAACAACCCTTAAACAAGTCTGAGCTAAAACAAGATGATGGATGGAGCTATGATACAAATATGTATCATAGCTGGCGAGTTTCGATGCTATCGGCTCTTATTGTAGTACGCTTATAGTCCCGCGCAATCACCATCAGCCCAATGTCTATCATGTCGACGGTTGAGGTTCGACTTGTGCCTTCTTCGCGGGTCTCATCATAAAACTTTCAAGACGGTTCCCATTGTCGAGAGGGACCGTCTCTATTAGGTCAAACCCGTGCTTCGCATCTAATGTATGAAAATATTTCGTGTCAGCTTTGCAATACTACAATTCTAGGATCTTCACCGTCATCTTTCGATTGAGCCGAACGATAGAGTCGTCACACTTACTACTGAGCGTTAGCCACTGTATACCCTACAAAGGCAATCTTGAGACCATTATAGAAAGGGAGTTCCAAAATAAAAACACTGGATGTTTTCGTACGTACCAAAGAGGAGCTCCAGCTGGGCTGGCAGCAAGGAAAGCCTCGAGACCTGCGTCGTCGGCTCTAGCTATGCCCCATCTCAGTAGTTGCTTACCCGCACCTTTTCCCCGAGAATCCTCTCGAACACCTAAAATGTCTAGATACCAATGCGGACGATTCCCCATGATATTCTTGTGCATTTTCCCTACGGTCCCGAAGAATTCTTCGGCACAGGCTAGGTCAGCATCTTTGGGCCAGCTAACGGGTGCTGGCGGCGGAGGGGAGGATGCCGTCGTGAAGTACTCCCGCCATATTCCAAATGCGATGATCCTTTCCGGTGTTGCGGAATTTGGGTCAGTCAAAACCAAGAAATGATCGGTCGGTTTTTGCCGATCAGATGCCAGCGGATCTAACCAAAATTTTCGCACATGTTCTGGATTTGAGTTGAAAACGCGTCGGGTGACAGGGTGGTCACCGAATGCATCGAAATAGACATCTACGAGGGATGGGATGTCCGAATGAGTCGCCTCCCGTATTTTGTACGACATTTCGGTAATAACACTGAGTCGCCGCAATGATAGGGGTGACAAGATGAAAAGGGGTTTGGTGGGAGAGAAGACTTTGCAATAGTTAGCAGTGTTCACTCAGATAGGCTTGACTTATTGTTACCACAATCTTTCAACAGCTAATATGTTGTGCTTGCTATCTTAAAGCTATCGTATAAGCTTGAATCTTAAGAGCTATTTGTAAACTAAGGACTCATAGACTTACTAGTATACTGCAATTGAACCCGATGAACGTAGGATCTTGAATATGACTCACCGGCAGCTCGCTCCTATGTATAATGATGCATGTGCTATCGGCGTAGATCGAGTCCGGTTCAACAAGGTACGCTTAGACAATATGGATCCTGAGACATACGCTTACTGGCCTATATTGTCGTTTATAGCAACCAACCGCAACCATTTCGTATTTAGTACCATACCAGGCCACAGCTATACGACTCGTACGATGTGGGAGTTATTAATGATGGATATCGATTCCTAACGCCAGGTTTAAACGAGACTTGCTACGAGACGAGGAACAGCAGGGAGTGGCTTACCAATCCTTAACCCTGCGTTTATCTAATAGTCTTTTTGGCTACATGAATGATATATTTGTCAATTCTACTGAGAAAATGCGATACAGTGGTTTCGTATGAGGAACGGATGCTGCGGACCCTGCAGCAAAATGAGTGGGTTCTTTGGACCGCCCAGAACCCTTTACTATGAATCTTATAGGTTAGAGCAAACACGAATCTTCCTATTTAAAGAACTACACTCTAGAGATTATAGAGCCTCGGGATTCAAATCCATCGTACGTAATAATCATAGCCGCTATATCGAGGCCTGCGAGACCAAGTCTGATAGAAAAGGGCATTTATTATCTTCGAAAGTAATGCCGGCCTCTTAAGGCCTACTACTCTATAGCGTTATTCAAGACAGCAAGTGGACTGACGATCTCCTAGTCTCGTGAGGGGTTTTGGTTGCACTTTGATCTAGCGTCAGTCTAAAATTTCCCCAGATTTTGCCAAGGTGAGAACATCCGGACAAGTGGTTAGCTAACCTATTTAGACCACGGCAATGCATATATTATATAGTGCATTCTCTACCTAAACGTGTGCTTGAAGCCACATACCGGTATCCTGGTAGAGGAGAAACAACTGCGTTGCTTCTGATTGGAAGATACAGCTTAGATGCATCGCCGCTTAAACAGGGTGGTGACGGACTAGGGAATATGGCCGGATCTTGCAGATTCCCTTCTGGGTCGTGCTGATAATACCCCAATCTGGGGTATTGACAACTGACTGCTAAGATGCCGCATCTTTAAATGGATAGCAGAGCCCATACAAAACCCTGAGAGTGTGTTCTCTCGTCTCAGACTTCGCCATCCCTAAGTTTCATGATGACTTGGTTCTTACCCTTCTTAGCAGTGAACTTCTCGGAGCTGGTCGGTGATGTTGTGTCATCATCATCATCACCACCACTTGTTGAGAGGACATGGAACAACACCAAGTATGGCTATAAGTGCTATATAGGTGACGATTGCTGGCCGAGCGATGACTCTTGGGTCAAATTGAATTCAACGGTGGATGGGAATCTCCTGGTGAACATTCCTCCAGGTGCATCTTGTCATAACGTAAGTAATCGTAAAAGTAAGCTCGGGGATATTTAAATAGCCAGCGAGAGGAAACATGCTGACTTAAACCGTCTAAGACATTTGATGGCCCTCTTGGTACGGTTCCGACCTATGATGCTGCCGCTTGCGCGGAAGCGACGGATAAGTGGTCTGATGAATCATGGACGTGAGTTTTTTATAGTCGAGTCTAAGACGATATACTGACATGACAGCATAGCGTCGAGAAACCAGCAGCGGAACTATGGACATATTTCACGAATGATACTTGTCGTCCTATTGGTAACCCTGCCGCGCCTTGTACCCTTGGCTACTATGGAATCTATGTGATAATGGCACAGTCTAAAGACCATATCAAGGCAGGCGTGGATTTCGCTAGGGAAAATAACTTGCGCCTGATCATTCGAAACACGGGCCACGACTTTATCGGACGTAGCACTGGCTGGGGAGCGTTGATCATTAATACGCATAGCTTTCAAGATATCGAGTTCACTACCGAATACGGCGGACCCGGTGATTACAAGGGAGGTGCCGTAACAATAGGGGCGGGAGTCCAGGGCCGAGCGCTGCTCACTCAAGCTCACGCTCAGGATCCGCCCGTGACGGTCTTAACAGGAGAATGCCCAGTACGTAGATAGCGCGCGGGACAAGAAATACAAGCTAACGAGTTGATAGACTGTTGGCGTCGCTGGTGGGCTTGTCCAAGGTGGCGGCCATGGACCGCTTACGCCACTGTATGGACTGGTCGCTGATACTGCGTTGTCTTTTGACGTGTTAACAGCGGGCGGCGAATACCTGACTGCGAATTCCGAAGAGAATCCCGATCTCTTCTGGGCCTTGAAGGGAGGCGGACCGTCTGCCTTCGCTGTTGTACTTTCGGTGACCCTTAAGACATTCCCGGAACAGAAGGCAGCCGGTGTCTTCATCAATATCAACTCGACGCTTACCAACGACGCAGACGTGTTCTGGGAAGGTGTCAGGTCGTTCCATAAGTACTCAAACGAAATCGTGGCGGCTGGTCTTTACGCTTACTTCGAACTTATGCCGTTGCGTCTGCATGTACAACCCATAGTCGGAGTCGGGAAAACTTCAGCAGAAGTGGAAGCCATTCTCCAGCCTGTGTTTAACGAATACAAAGCTAAAGGCATTCCCTACGACACAGGCAGCAAATATTTTGATACATTATTCGATCTATATAGTGACTTATTCGAAGATGAGACGGCCGGAACTACGGCTCTTACGGGCGGATGGATGTTCACTCACCAGGACGTCGAAGAAAACAACGACGAAATTATCGAGGCGTTCAAGACGGTTATGTCGCCACGGGATGACTTGAAGGATCAGGGATTTATCATTGGCCACCTCTGGGATGCTGGTCTAAATACGCCGGTTTCAAACAGCGCAACGAACCCGCGGTTTAGAAAGTCTACAGATTTTAGCATAATCGGGCTACCAGTCCCGGATGATGCAACTTGGGCTCAGAAAGAGGATCTCCAGAGCGTGCTAACTAATATCCAAGATGCTGCAATGAGGAAAGCTGGCCCGAATGGATGTGCCTATGTTAACGAGGTACGTATGCATCCGATGGATGTGAAACATAAAGCGATGATGATACTGATAACTTTCATAGGGGGACCCGTATCAACCTAATTGGCAAGATAATTTCTGGGGCTCGGAATATCCGAAATTGCTGGAAACTCGCAAGAAGTGGGATCCTCATGGTGTCTTCTACGCCGTGTCAACTCCGGGAACTGAGGATTGGGAGGTCATCGAATACGGCACGAGATTATGTCGAAAATATTGAATGAATACCTGTGCTTATTAACTCCAGGTTGGTGTATTGAACGGCAAGTTAGGTGTAAGTAGACGGTAGAATGGTAGAATGGTAGAATAAGAGGAATAAATATTAGTAGGAGTTAATGTCTGTTGAGATGTACTGCGCTTCATTGCATAAACGATGCTATCTGTGCAACCATTGGTGCACGTGACGTCAGTGTATGCATATCTTGAGTTATTTATGCAGCTACCCGGTCGAGGAGATCCTTACCCAAAGCTTCCACTTAGCAGAACCCCACCATCGACATCCATCGACATCCATCAACGTTGGAACATCGCATGAGGGTAATAAATTATATGAGCTGCAGCACAAGGATATGAATCGATAGTGGTCACTTACCGTAATTCAAACAAGTCTTCTTACGGACCGCCATTTCTTCTATTCCTAAAGTAGAGAAATGCGTGACCCGACTTGAGCTAAACTTCAACGTCGCGTCGAGACCACTGCGACCCTTCGAGATACTTTGCTTGATATTACGAGATAAGAGCTAGCTCATACCTTTTGTCGAGCACAACATGACAGACCTCGAGGCATCTGTCCCCAGCTTAGGAATGTCTACTGACATCCGAAGCGAACTCAAGAAACCTAAGAAGAAAAAGGTGCTCCTTATGGGAAAGAGTGGCTCCGGAAAGTCGAGTATGAGGAGTATTATATTTAGCAACTATATCGCTAGGGATACTCGACGTCTGTAAGTTACAACCCTACTTTCCTTATCGTTTAATTCTAGAAAATTAACTCTCGTGTCATATCAGCGGTGCGACGATCGATGTCGACCTCTCGCACGTCAAATTCTTAGGAAACTTGACCTTGAACCTCTGGGACTGCGGTGGCCAAGAAGCTTTCATGGAAAATTATCTATCGCAGCAACGTGTACACGTCTTCTCTAATGTTGGGGTGCTTATATACGTCTTCGATATAGAATCTCGAGACGTAGACCGAGACATGGCTACATACGTATCCATCATCTCCGCACTAACCCAGTATTCTCCTACCGCAAAGGTCTACGTGCTAATTCACAAGATGGATTTGATCACCCCGCATGCCCGAGAGGCTGTTTTCGTCGACCGTGTTCGGCTAGTCAGACAGAAGACCGCCGAGTTCATCCAAGGAGCAGGCTATACGGGCGAGTTGGACCTCATCCCCTTCGCGACCTCTATATGGGACCAGTCGCTATACAAGGCGTGGGCAAGCATCATCCACGACCTCGTGCCAAACCTGTCCGTCATCGAGTCGCAGTTAGGCTCTCTCGGAGTATTGATAGAAGCCGAGGAGCTGCTATTGTTCGAGAGAACGAGCTTCCTTGTCGTGTCAAACTGGACGTCGGAAGAAGGCCAGAACAACCCTACGGGAGATCGACAAGAGCGTATATCAAACATCCTCAAGCATTTCAAGCAAAGCATCAGCCGCTTTACCGGTACTCCCCGAAATGCGGAGCAGTTTACTCTGATGGTAAGTAGCTGCATGTCCAGCTGTACACTTCTGCTCGAGCAGCTCGGCGTCGGCTTGAAGTAATAGAATACCAGCGAATCGCTAACGAAATAACTGTAGGAACACAAAGCGGGATCTAGATTCTCCATGTTTGCTTGCAAATTCACCACCAATACCTACCTCATGGTTATTCTCCCACCCGGAGAGGCGAGGTTCAATTCCGCCAAGCTGAATTGTCAGATTGCTAGAGAGAGCTTCAAGTTCCTAGACGGACCCGTGACCCCAGGCCAGACCTTTAATTAGTAGCCCGATCCAGACAATCTAAGCCATGCGTACCTTCTGAGTTATTAGACTTCTAATATCCTTTGTATTTGCTCCTCACGTCTCTGCTACGTATTTCAACATGTTATTCTAAGCAACGGAAACTGATTAGCTTCCAATATAGCACTGCAAACCCCAAGTCGAGTCCTCTTATCTGATCGCATAACTACCTACATATAATGAGCCGGGGAGTTCTCTGGACGCAAGCGACCTTAACGATAGGGAATCTTAGTCTACAATATTCCACTGGTATAAGATTGCCGATATGTCTAATGCCAAGACTCCGCTGAATTCTCGGGCCGCGGGACATTTACCAAATCTAGGGCATGATGCCTCAATATGGCGCCATCCTTAGTATAAGCTATCATGAGCGATGTTTTTCTTGGTGAGAGCTATGATAGTCGCATTTCATATAGTCAAGATACGTTTATCAGTTGCGATGCTTTTATTGGCCTCGAGGCCGACTCCGGGAGAGGTAGTAGTTTAGGCGCGGCGGTCTGGTCCCTGACGATCGGCAGACGCCCTGAATTAGGAAGGTTAGTCGTCGCAGCAAGCCAACCAATTAAAGCGTCAATGACGTGGTATGCCATGCACGATTTTGATGAAAGGGTAGCTGATACCCACGGACGTAGAGTTAAGTATTTGAGAATTTAAAGACGTGATAGTCGTTTATCATCGAGTCTGTCTTGAGTTCGTAAAGTCTGCTTTACCCTGAAGTGAAGATAAACCCACATGCATCCCGCCCTTCACATGTAAGACATTAGCTGTTGAAGATCGTCGCCCCGTCCAGATCTCAACACAACTTTAATACCACCCTCGACTTGTTCAATATGGCAGGTCAGATTCAGCTTCGCACTATGTAACGCAATGATTCCATGGCATGTCTCTGATATGCTTTTGGGGCATCGCGCCCCGCTGCTGCTTGCCGCTCCGTGCTATCATTCTCCTACGAAAGTCCGGTTTCTTGGAACCTGCTTGGTTATCTACGCTAATTGGTTTAAGTGTAGTCGCTTTGGGAAGTTGGTAATTGCGGTTGGCCAATATATAACACGGGATATTAATACAAGTAGGAGAGATCGGCGGGATGTCTATATAAACTGGTCACAGACTTTAAGAATCATCGTCCATGCAAGACTTCGGATAGCTGGTTAGGTGTTACTGCCTAGGTAACCCACTATATTTGCGTATATCCGCCTAGTAGTACCGCCTGACTCGGAACGTAACCAAACTGACCAACCTCAATATCTTCATCATGAGGTTCTCATTCACCTTCGGCGGTCTCCTATCCGCGAGCGTCGTGCTCGCCGCGCCGGCGCCAATTCCGGTTGCCGAGCCGGTTCCTATGCCCATGCCCACTCCTGTTCGTAACAACCCTTCCGTTCCCACAAACGCAGCAACATCTTTTTCAGAACTGACTGACGTAATTAGCCTGGCATCCCGTCCGCCTCGTCCGCTAAATCGCAGCTCGCAAGCTTGACCGTCAAGGCCGCGGTCGACGACGGAGCATACAAGCGGGACTTGTTCCCGACGTGGGACACCATCACGGGAACCTGCAACACGCGCGAGTACGTGCTCAAGCGGGACGGTGCCAGCGTCCAGGTCGGTTCCGACTGCTACCCGACGAGCGGCACGTGGACCAGCCCCTACGATGGCGGGAAGTGGACGTCCCCAGCCGACGTGGATATCGATCACATGGTGCCTTTGAAGAATGCCTGGATTGTACGTATTTTATGTTTCTACCTGTTGTTCCGTGGCGCTTGGTTCGCCGTTTAACTAACTCTATGTAGTCCGGTGCGAACAAATGGACAACTGCCAAGCGCGAGCAATTCGCCAACGATGTTGACCGGCCGCAGCTCTGGGCCGTAACGGACAATGTTAACTCGTCCAAGGGTGACAAATCCCCCGACACCTGGAAGCCGCCTCTAAAGAGCTTCTATTGCACTTATGCGAGCGCTTATGTCGCCGTTAAGAGCTATTGGGCCTTAACTATCACTTCGGCTGAGAAATCGGCCCTGAGCGACATGTTGGGAACTTGTTAGGTACCTACATAAGTCCACGATGTGTGCTGTTAAGTCGAATGTGTTTGGCGGCGCTAGAGTTTACGAAGACTGGCGGGTTGTCTTCATTCCAGAGCCTAGAAATTACATCAACGAACGGAAGACAATAAAATAAAGATAATTGATTTTCATAAACTTTGACTTGTGCCTCGCGATCAAATCATCCCTTGAGTTATCGCAGTAAGAGACAATATTCTCTTGATATCTATGCGTAGCTGCATCTTATCCCTTTAAAAGGTAGCAGGACAACTCATTTAGCAACTATAACTCTACCGTTTAACGAACACCCAACTCATCCAATCCTAACGTTGCTTTTGTGCTCATTTGTTCTTCTTCACCATGGCAGTACCGCCCTTCTTGAACTCGGCCATATCGCCTAGTACTAATGACTTGTCCGTGTGGTCTTTGTTGGGGAACGTCGTAGCTAACACCCATCCACCAGCTCGCAACTCCGGAGAGGATCGGGAGATGAAGTCATATACATCGTTGACCGTATGCGACGTGTTAAATCGAGCTGGCAGTCGCGTACCGTCAGGCATCTGGATTCGGATCATGATCGTGGGCTGAGAGTCGTCTACAGCCGTACTCGGCGCCGTCGACTGTGCTGCTGCCGGCGTGCTCGAAGTCGACAAGGTAGGTAGAGTCGCGGCGGCGGCGGCAGAAGATTCTCCCGGAACTGGGCTTCCTAGGCGACGACCCTCGCCGCCGAACGGCTTGTACACTTTAGGGAGTTGTCGGTAGTTCTCGTCGTGCTGCTGAAGCTTAACATCGAGAGGCTCGTCGAGCCTAACGTTCATCAGGTGGATAGGAGCGCGGCCTTGCTGTATCATGCGCAAAGCATCGGTGTTCTCGGGATCGTCAAAGCGGCGTAGCTCTCCGTCGTCGACGCTGAAGCCATCACGCCATAGGTGTAACGTCCGCTCTTGAATTTTGCCCGTAAGACGTGGACGACTAGCAGAACCGGCAGCCCCGAGAGGGTCTGGAATCGTGCGGCTAGGAGCGCCTTCGCCACCGAGAGTTTGTCCGGCGCCACGGAAAGAAGTCGCGCTGGAAGGGCCAGCATGAGAAGAAGCCTCGGGACGCTGTGAATTGCTAGAAAGTCTAGGGTTAGCCTATCTCCAAGCGAATAAAGAAACAACCATGATTACCCTGCTGCGGCATCCGCGAGAATATCGTTCACGAGTTGTCTACCGTCTGTGCGTTGATTCGGGTCTTGAATAGCAAGGCCGCTCTTCTCGCCTCCAGCGTACGTGTCCCTATGCGAGTCATCATCTTCGTCGTCGTCGTCGTCATCACCATGATCGTGGCCGTGGCCGCCGCCGAGCGAGCTTAATGTGGCAAGCCCTTTCTTCTTGGGTGCCCGCTTGGAGGAGCTGGACGTGGTGGGAATAGACTCCGGGGCGGGACGTCCATCGAGAGTGCGCGGGCCAGTATAATTGCTATAGTCTGCAGGGGCGGAAGTATTAAGAGGAGCACCTGCATCATCTTCTTCCTCGTCAGCGAAGTATGCTTGGGCTGCGGCGGCGAGATCCCAATTGTTGGCAGAGAGGTATTGGGTGGCCTAGAGGGAAAGGTGATGTATTAGCTGAAGCGATGTGGTGAAGGATGAAGCTAGCTATTAGCTGCTTTAGAACCGGGTCACATACCTGTTCTGTGGAAATTCCGGCCATGGCCATGAGCTCGCTCGTAAGAGCATCGTGATCTATGTTGCTCGACATTATGCGCAGAGAGGGTGGGGGGATGGAAGGGGAAGAATGAAAAACTCAGGGCGGTCAAATTGACTACGGAAAATTGGTTGTAGATGATAAGAGCCTCAGCTTCTGTAGCCTTAAGGAATAATCAAGTAAAGAATAAGGAATCGAATCTTTAATGTGACGTTTGCTGCTAGAAGGTACGTCCCCTAACTGTTAAATTCTTAGGCAGCTTCAGCAACGACGTCAAGGTCTCCACAGTAGCCTAATCACGATGAGTCGAGTTGATTTAGGTACTTCAGTGTCTGATTAGGTAGGTACCTACCTTAGGTACAACACTTACGTGGGGAGTTAGCGGGGTGTGCGCCTCCCATTGTTGCTATGTCCGATTAGCTAAAGCCCCTCCATCAACGAAATGACGAACAGCTGCCCTGGCTCGGTACCTACAGCTGTGTCAGTTTTCCAATCACCCTATTGTGACGTAACTAGCCTATCTAGGCAGAACCTGTGTTAGATCTCTACTCTGATAGGTTTAAATCGGTAACAACATTTCTAGCTACCGATAGGTATTAACATAATAATAGTGTTAATGCCGATTCTCAATGTTGAGTTCTCTCCAACCATTTCAACTTCAAAGTACCTAGGCAGCCAAGGAATCTCCCACAGCTCTCATTAACCACATGCAAACAAAATAACAAGCGACATGATACCCTAGAGTTAAGGTGGATTGTTATACCAACATCGTCTTCCCTCCAACATTTCAGCCATGTCCTCCGAAGAACCAGACCCCCTCTCGGGGTCAGGCGTCACGATGCATTCCGACAGCGAGCAATACTCAGCCGGCGAAGACCTACTGCACTCGCCACCTTCGTCTTCTTCTCCACCCATAGTCCTCTATAAGCCCCCCACCGTCTGGTCTATGCTCCGAGGCGTAGCTATTAACCTACTGTTACCATTCATCAACGGCATGATGCTGGGTTTCGGCGAGCTGTTTGCGCATGAGGCTGCTTTCAGATTAGGATGGGGGGGTACAAGAGTACGTAACGCTGCAGGACTACGAGCAACATGTAACTGTTTAGACAACGATTAACCGTGTTGCATAGGTCTTCCCTCTCTCCCGGCGGAGAGCACATCCTATCGGTCCAGGTATCGAAATGCGCAACCGACCTAAACCGCAACCTGACTTACGAGACCTGACTAGTCTCGAATGATGGAGACGATCTGCTATTTATACACGGGTAGAGCTAAAACGATGGAATATGTCGCTTGGCCTTATGTATTGTCTTATGCAAGATTAGAAGGGATGGGTGAATGACAAAAGGGAGAACGAAAGATATCATAAGATATTACTCATGTATAAACCCCCTTTTCGTAAGAAAATATAATTGCACAAAGCTCTAGGTTAAATAGGATACTCAAAATCCAATGTCTCGAGAGTATGCTAACCTAGTGCTAATGCCCACTTGAATATTCAATGATAGAATTGGTAACTGGTGAACTCAATCGTTAAGGAAATGGAAAGACTACACCTTTCATAAACACTATAGAGTTACAAACATTGAAACATTTTGGCCGATAATAGAAGCTGAGATACGTAATCAAATCGGAGTTGGAGTCGGCAGAAAAAAGTCGAGATAGCAGAATAGACTATCCGGATAGTACGTACCTAAGCTCCGGGAATCCCACTACGACCGTATCGATAAGAAAAGTAGCCCCAGTACCAAAGTTCCAGTAGAGTAAAAAATTCCAATGGAATTTATATCGTAAGTGGTCGGCCTCAGCTTCTACAGCGCTCACAATTATCGCCATGTTGCCGAGCAGAGGACTTCCAAGATCAATTCCAGCCTCGGCGCTGCGGAATACTTGGTCTACTCGGACACAGGTACGGCAGCATTTAACAAGTCAATATCTCATGAATTACTAACAAGCCTTTCTTCGTCGCCTCGTAGCCCATTCGACCTTTACAAGTTCCTATACGACACTTCTCCCAGGTACAGTCGCGGTCTACGCCATTGAGTAAATTTCGGAATACTTCGTGTGCGCCGACTTCACTGTTCGATTCCCGGACAATTGTCGCAGCTACCACGTCCGGCGTATTCGCCCAGCGTTCCGGAGCTTCGCGAAATCTTTCGTTATGGCCCTTCTCTTCTAAGAAGCAGTCGCCAATCGAATCCCAGCCCGCTTCTACCCCAGAGCCTCTATTATCAGAGCCCCCGGCGCCTGTCGATAATTACGAACGCCTCCCCGAGGAGTCTTTCGCAAGTACAACTTCGACTTCCGCTCCGATAGGCCACACAGAAGACGCCTTCAGCGACCTGGACCTGCCTTCCATCCTCGATATCCGCGAGCAGATAGGATACCTTAAAAATCTCGGATTGGATTTCGGATGGGGTCCGACTTCCTGTTGCGAATGGGTCCTCGAACATATGTATATATACACGGGCATGCCCTGGTGGGCTACGATCGCCGCGGTGGCTGCTTTATGGCGTATCGCTATGTTCTGGCCTACCTTAACAGCTAGCAAGCACAGCGCGTTGATACAACAGCTCGAGAGGAATCCGGCTTACATGAAAGCCAAGGAAGAACTGAACGAGGCCGCGTGGAAAACCCACGACCGTGTCGCTCAAATGCGAGCGTCGGAAAAGATGATGAGGTTAAAAAGAGAGACGGGTGCTAGCACGTTGCGCATGCTCGCTACATTTTGGACTATCCCATTTAGTTTCGGCATGTTTCGATTACTCCGAGGCATGGCCGCCCTACCCGTACCCAGCCTTGAGACTGGAGGCTTGGCCTGGTTCACCGATCTGACCGTTTACGACCCTTACTACATCCTGCCCATAACTTCTATAGCTCTCACGGCTTTCATGTTCAAGGTAAACCTATTGCGAGCCCCCTCTCTCTAGGACTCCCAGCTAATGGATCGTTAGCAAACAAGAGCCGCCAACTTGTCAAAGGATCCGGCAACCGAAAGTATCACCAAGCTAATGATGTACGGTTTGCCTCCCGTCGTATTCCTCGGCACGGCTTGGCTCCCCGCGGGTGTCCAGTGGTTCTTCCTGATGGTCACTGCCGGGTCCATCGTGCAGTCGTCGGCGACTCTCAACCCATCCATCCGCCGCTTAGCCGGCCTCCCTCCTCTTCCAACCCGGGGTGGAGGACTAATCCCGACCACAGCCATGGCTATCCCGACGTGGCAAGCACCAACACCCTCTAGCCAGAGATCCGCAAGCGATAATACAAGCGGGGCTACCAAGGGAATCGCCGAATCGGCCAAAGGTCTGTTAGGCGTCGACAAGCAGAAGGAGGAGTGGAAGAAGGCCCAGGCGTACGAAGAGCGCAGGGCCGCGGAAGAAAAGGAAAAGGCGTACCGGAGGATGGAGGATCTACGCCGGAAACAAGCCGAAAAGGGAGGGTTATGAGAGCACGGTCACTAGCTGACGAACGCGATGCGGCAGCAATGCGGCAGCAGGGATTGTATCATAACATAGACGAAGCGTCGATCTTGACGTACGCATGTAGGGTGAGGAATACCCACAACTGTGATTGCATTGTATATATATAGGTAGGTACATCCATCTGCAATACAAAACTCCATACAGTTCAACTCAAGACTGCAAGGAGAGTCGAATCGCGTGCTTACCAGCTATCTATTATCAACCACGACGGACGATTATTGTAAAACTTCATACAAGCCCCAATAATATTTATTTTCAGGCCTCAAGAATGGCCTTATATTTTGTACAGGTGATTAAATAGGGTTCTCCAGCAATACTATCCTATGTTAATCGAAAAAAGTTGATCAACTTTTTGTGATCGTGCCGCGACAAAAAAAAAACCCAAAACGCGTGGAGAATTACCAATAATCGCACCAACAAAGTTGTGTTGCTGTTGCTGTTGCCGTACCGTTCTTATCCGTAGAACGAATATAATATGTTTCTTCCTTTAGCCGCCTACTTCCGTTACTCAGGACGGCCCAAATGGCCAAGAATAGGCAGTATATTTTCCACCGACTTTCAGAATGCTAACAAAGGGGGTATGATCCTCAATCTACCAAAACTAGCGATTTTCGCTTTGTGTCGTAATGAATTCTAAGACAGGGTGATCGAAACGAACAATAGAAGCGTAAACAAGACACGATATTAAAATCCCTAGTTAAAATACAGTTCCATCCGAATCAATGAGGATGGGCGGCTCTTTCGTGTTGGGTCGGCTAACCTCTGCGATCTCGCGACCACCCTACATATTGCATTAGCTCTCGTTCAATAACTATAAAATAGACGCCATCAAAGTCAGATGGACTATATAGCTTACCTTCCAGCTTCCTGCCTCGAGCAGCTGTGCTAGCGTCAACTCGCCACCGTTGAGATCCTTCCTGAGGGTCTTGTTGACTTCGACTAAGAGCATATCGAGGAAGCCCACGGTAACACCTCGCCACTCGACAATTACGTCGTCGCTCGGCTCGAACATAGGCGCTACCTCGATGCCATCAGAGCCCGTCCGCCGGCAGTAGTCGCTATAGTTCTGCAGGCCACGTTCGAGGTCGTCGTTCTTGAGGGTCAATACGCCGAGGTCGATGAACAAGCCTCCGTTTCTGTACTCGGGCAGCCCCGTTAGGAGCTCCGTGCCGGCGAACTGGATCCTAAGGAGGTTCTGCATGGGCTGCATTAGAGAGTACGTGAGCCACTGCGTCAACTTGTGGAAAGGCAGGATGGATTCCCAGGGAGCGACGCCCGAGCTTGGCTGAGAATTAGGGAACGGAGAAAACCCCGGGGAGGTCGGCGGCGGTGTGGGCTGCGGCATCGCGGAGCACGGCCAAGCGTCACCAAGAGAGACGCCGTCGATAGCCGTCCGCGAAGGAGGCCAGATAGGAGCGAGCCCAGACATAAGCACGTTCCAAAGTACCGGAAGGACTACGATGGGGGACGAAGAAGCCTGTGTTGTCGGATGCGCCAGGAGGTAGTCTTCGCATTCATAACCAGTTAGCTAATACCAGCAAGAAAAGAAGAAAAAGGCCAAAAGACGAAACGCATAGGATACGGAGACGATCACATACCGACCATGTTGCCCGGCCGTCCGTCAGCACCGAAGAAATCCGTCTTCTCCGATAGCGCATCGCTAAGTCGTATCAGGAGCTGCGCTCTACCCTCTAAACCGGCAATCTCGTTGCCAGGACGTGATTGCATGCCCTTGGCTAGCTGCTCGACGGTCAACGTTTGAAGACCCTCCTTATCCACCTGGAACTTGTTGTTCGGATTTCCGGAGAACAACCCCTATTCGAGATACGATGTCAGCAAAAATCTCCATTCTAAACTAACACCCGCCGGTGCAGATTCACGGTGCACGAGCGCATACGTACAGCCTTGAACATCTCCAAGCTCGCAATGGCTAGGCCCTCGGATCTCCTGTAGATGCGGCCGTTCTCGGCGCTCTTAAAGCTCCATACGGTACCGGCGCCGGCGTCGAGCAGCACGCTGACGAGGAACAAATCGATTAGGCGGCGACACTTCTCGGTACTATCGACGTCGTCGGGAAAAGTCGCTAGCAGGTTGGCGACCCGATCCCGCCCGCCGGCGCAGAAGTGCTGGTACCGGCCATGGGGCGGGATCGACGAAAACGGAGCGTCGTAATCTCGCTGTTCTTCCTAGTCAGCAGATTCGTCACGTGGATTGTAGCTGCACGCCGGCGAATTGGGCGTAGATAATCTGACCTTGATGATGCCGCACACAAAGGTAGCGACGTCGGGAAACTTGGCCATATCCACGTCGAAATGGTTAAGGTTGTTGCGCAAGGCCTTGTCGGTCACGATCTTAGACCGCTCGCGGACGGAGCCCAGACTCCTCAGGTAACCGGCGGCATCGAGGACTGGATCCGGAGGCTTAGGTAGGTTGATTCTGGGCATGAGATGCGGCGTCATGGGAGTCATGGGGGTCATAGGAGTCGGCGGTACGCTGCCGGCCGATGCGCGATGATTGCTGTAAGATTGCGACTGTACTCTGGAATTGCTGGCTGATGAACTTTTGAAGTTGGAGCTTTGCGAGTGCAAGCTGGCCGTGTCGTTTGACCCGTTGGAAGCGGAAGCGTTGACTGGCTTGGGCGCCTTGGGTTTTCTCGAGAAGAGACCCATACTGGTTATAGGTCGTGTAATGTATGTACACGTTACGTATGTATGAGGTATGTATGTATGCCCAATTGCTTTTTCTGTTTTGGTTTTGTTTCTTATCTCTGCTGTATCCCTCCACTCTTCTTGGTCTTTTCACGCGTGACGAACGCCCTTTTTTTTCTCCTCCTTGTACGTTCTTATTTTTTTATTTAATTTTTTTTTCCTTCTGTCTTAGATTGGAAATACGTGGTTGGCTAGTTAGCAAGTTTGGGTGTAAGTATAGCCGGGAAAGTCAACCAGATTAAGCAATCAGATCGACCGGATCAGCAGCACGAACGGGGGAGGATTGGGAAAGACAGGAGGGGTAGGTACCCGTAACTATGAAAGCTAAGGTACTGGCTAAGGTGGGCTAAAAGGTTCAATGTTGCTAAGGGCCAAGGGCCAAGGGCTAAGGTATTATAAAGGGGGAGGGGCCATTTATTCGATTTTGGGCAGGTCTACCTCACATAGGTACCCTAGCCAAGACAGCTAAGATAACTACCTACCCAGGTATACATAAGCTCGCTATGTATTCCTTGTAGTTTCTAATGGTACCTTATTTCGACAGGGCAATCGGACAGCTTCCAGCCAAGGGGGGTGGAGAAAGAAAGGTGGTTGTGGGGGAGAGATAGAAGAGAAGAAAAAAAAAATTTAGTTAAATAAATAATAAAAAGTTCAGGGGGGGGGGGGGGGGGGGGAAAGGCCTGAATAAGAGAATAAGATGAGCGATGCTGCTACGCTGACGATGCTTGTTCGTTATCCGGTTGTTTGTCTTCAAACATCAACTCGAAGCTAAACAGAGAGAAGAAGAGTTATAAGGAATTCAACACAAGCAAAGAAAAAATTAGAATAACCTCGAGTGCATGATGCATTGCTACCTACCTATGTACCTAGGGACGTATGCGCAAGTATAATTCGTATAGCGATAGCTTAACAAGATGCTTGACAAGATGTAGTATAGTGCTGTAGTATAGCATGCAGACCGATAGCTCGGATAGGCAAAAAGCAAAAGCCGTAGCTAGGGATCTAGAACGAAGGAATGTGATAGGTAGCGGCCCGGTCGTTTGCTTTCTTTATCGGCTGCTTCGATATAACGACTTCCGGGTTAACAGACGTCGTATTATCGTCTGCCGGCCTGCTAAATAGGTACGCAGTAAAATAGCTTAAGAATATTCCAGGAACGTATGCTTTAAGATTGAACTCTTAAGATTGAAGCCTACCTATATCACAGTGTTTAAACTTTCACATCCTCAGGAGATCGATCCAGCAGTGGAGCTTTTCACCGGGATTCATCAGGGCTTCATCAGGATCAGCAGGAACCGCCGAACTGGGGACGGGGAAGACCAGGGATGTCAGGGGCCAAGCCATATAAGCTATCAAGGGGGGCCCGGTCTACCTAATCTTCTGATTTGTTTCCCGTCCTTCGGACGCCGCGCACATACATACAGCAAGGAGCAAGGTATGTGCAGAAATGTACAGCCAGGTTGATAGCTCCGTTAGGGGTTTAGCCAAGCAAATCTTCTCTTTGCCCGCGTTAAGGACCTGGGTGTTTTGACCAAGATGAAACGAGAATATGCCTCGTCGAGGTTGACTTAGGTATGTGTACATAGTATACGTAGCAGCAAGATGATGATCTTTCGATCCCACGTAATTTCACATGTTCGGTTGCCGATATATCAAACGTAACATATCCATCATCATCTCTTTCCCGGCCCGAACAACTACGGTTCCCGTATAATCATATGAGATAATCATATGAGGGTGCGACCTCTCGATATTATTCAATAGCGCTCCTTTCATACCTGACTTGGCTCAATTTTGGGTAGTATTCCAGCAGAGGAACAGGATGACATGCAGATATGTGACTCTACCGTAGCATGAATTCGAGCTTATCGTCGCAAGTTATGTATAAGATATCTAAGGTAGTAATCACCATCGATTACTTTTGTTAGTTTATGAATAGGTAGGTAGGTAACCTAGGTAGTCATCAACTTACATAGCTCATGATCAACTCATTACTCCCTGGTTTGATGTCTATCTGTTCTCTTGCGCACAAGCACCTCTCTTCTACCCGCGCCATGGACGCAATTGTTATGGCGCCATTTTGATCGTCCAATCAAAATATCCTCCCTGCGTCTCATCTTCGCTTAATTAAAGCTTCGGCATGTATCAACGGAGACATATTCGGCAACGTCATTGGGGTAAGATACTCCTAACACGATTGTTTACATTCGGTCTAGAAGCGAAACGAATCCTTACAATAGCTTCAAGTTGTTGTTTACATTTATCATAGCAATACTTCGGAGTCTCTTCTGCTTCACGCTATTCCTAAGATTAAAAATTTACTGACGAGCCGCAAGGTTCCTCGATCGTATAACATTTTCGTTTAGCCCCTAGCAAGTAGAATAGACCATCGTTAGCATGACAGCCATGGCGCGACCGGATCAAGCATCCGCCGGTCCCAATAGGATCGAAAGTCGAAACCAGACATTATAACTTGCGGGGAAGGATGATGAAGCAGTCCTCGGGCCCATCCTCTTCGGACAATTACATACATGACAGATCCAGGCGGTCGGTTCATCCACCAAGACAGCTTAGACTAAAGACTTGGTCTCCAGCGTAGCTCGACGCGAACGCCTCCCCAAGGATGACGGCTCCGAGGTATCGGCCACGCTGGTCCGGTACTAGAGGAGTCCGTGCAAGGAACAGACGCAGAATACCCATGTCTCGCATACTTCTGCAGGAACGGACCAGAGACCGGCCTTTAGATCTACAAATCGTCGGCTAGATCCATATAAAGCGACTGCCTGTTGGTACCGAGTAGAAATCACGAACGTAGCAATTTTCATATGAGACCTGAACTCTACAGTTGCGACCAGTACTTACTGTATCTATAAATGGGCGGCAGAGAGAGGATAGACAGCAGACTCGCGTTATCATCCGTCAAATCCTGGTAGATATAGGGAAGACGTGCGCCTCAATAATAGCGTTTTGTTAAGTAGTGTAAGACTTGACGGTAATTACGATACGCTAAGAATTCCGAAGCCTTTATATCCACCTATATACAGTGCGCAATAGAACCGTATACAAATTCTGGTTCCATACTATCGAATCATAGGGCTTTAAAGATTTGACCTAGGTTAATCATTAAGAGGCTGAGAGTTTAAGAAGTGATAGGAGCGCAATCTTCTTATATTTGCCTAGAACATGAAGAGCATGTAGGATGGTATATTTGATAGGCAGTTCCACTTATGGCGTTGGCTGTCTTAGCTCTCTGATCAACAGGATGTTCATGAGAGACAGAAACGGGCACGCATCACCTTCCTACTGGTCCTGCAATGACTAAATAGGCTACGGACTACCTAAATAGATGAACACACCCAAGCCGAGAGATAGATACTAGTCTCGTCTCTTCAGCAGGGTTCACTCAACTCTAGAACTATTCTCATACTACCGCGTGGGTACTAGATCGCGCCGTGAACGCATCCAAGTCCTTCAGACCAGTCTCGAGGACGTCGAGCTTCTTCGCAAGCTCGGTGCGCTTCTTGACAGTTCCATCATCCTCAGATCCCAGCTTCTCGACCTCTTCATCGGAGAGATCCCACACGACGTCCGGAGAGAACCTAAAGGGTTGACAGTTAGTACATTATTGGTATCTACGCGGTTTAGGGGTATACTTACACGTTTGGTAAGCATTGAATTAGGCATGTCTCGATAGCATTGACGCTGACATCGTCAATGAACTTTTTCAGCGCAACCTATAGATTATTAGCACACGGCCGGAAATGTTGACGGCTCGTAGGATCAAGCATGATAGGCATACCTGGTAATACGCCGCAGCAACATCAGCCGCGAGCGAGGCGGAGTATTCCTTAACATTGGGCCGCGTCCCATGTTGCAAGTGGCAGAGAATATAACGCAAAGCCACATTGTTGGCCACGGCCGGTGCAGTCTCCGTTGTATAATTGCAGATTTCATCCAATAGGTTATCAAACTTCCGGTCATGACGCTTAGTCTGGATATCTTGTACCGTTTCCGTTAGGTAGTCGTTGTAGGTGATGGGATGAATCGATAGGTGAGGCTCTAGTAGTTCATCAACCTTGTCCTTTAGATCACCCCGAAGGCGGTGCAGCGCCGGCTGGATATGATGCTTCATGAGACGGGTCTTGGTATTGTTGTCGCAGATCTCCGTGATGATCCTGTTGAACGTGCTAGCTGCAGCCTCGTGAATCTGCTCGACGAGATTCTGCGTGATTAACTCCCAAGGCTTGCACTGCCTGCTGAATAGGTCACCAACGACAAGGGGATTGAACGTGCCCGGAAGCTCGCGTCCTCGGCATTCTACCATAAGTTCCTTTACTACTTCGAGGTAATCCAGCCTTATCATATATCTTCTCGAAGATATTCTGGTCGGGCGCAGATCATCTTCGACGATTTCTAGGGCGTGACCGTCGACGCACATCTTCTCAGCATAGCCACTCAAAATCTTCTGCACATGCGCCCGTAAACGTCTTTCGAAAGCGTCCTGCTGGCCGGGGAAAGACTCGAAAAATTGATCGGCATATACACCGTCGATGGCTGCCTGAACCAATTTGGATAGGATACTGCTGATCCGCTGGAGATAGGTATGTTTCTCTCTCATGGTGCTGCGGGCTTTTCCAAGCAGTGCTAGCTTACTCTTGCAATCCTTGATTCCGGCCTGTACCTCGGTCTTGACACCCGGAAGCTCGGTCTGGACCTGCTTCCACAGGATGTCGCGCAACCGAGATCTTAGAGACCCTACGCCAAGCTGGGACTCGTCGAAGGTTTTCCAAGCAGAGTTGGCAAAGAACTCCTTTTCTCTCTTGTCTCTCTCTTCAATCGTGTCGTTGGCAGTGGTATGGCTCCTGTTGCGCAGAACATGCCAGCCAAGATTGAGCTTCACGTTCATATTCTGCGCCAGCTCCACATAGTACCGCTCGCTCTCGGAGCCGCTATCAATCTTATCTGGTTTCGTGATGAGACCCAGCGTCCGTAAGCCAGACGGATCGATCTCCCGAGCAAATTTGGTTACCGGCTGGTTAGCAAACGGGTTATCGGCCGCGACGACGGCGAGGATGATACTACGGCGCTGCCGCATATAAGACACCACAAGGTCATGGACCAAAGCAGCATCATCGTCTGACTGGTTCTTGTCAGAGGCACCAAATAGGCCTGGCAAATCAACTAGCGTCAAGTTGGGCGCGGTAGGGGATGTGCTCTCTATCCGCAGGACGTCCGTACTGAAGATCTTGGATCCCTCTCCAACTAGGCCCATGGCATCCTTGGCGGCGTCGATAATTCTCGGGAAGTCATTTTGATCTTTAGTCTTCCCATTGAATGCCAACAAACGAGCTCTTTCCTCCTTGCTTCTGCTGGTGCTGGGCTGGATGTGTACCTTGATCTCCGGTTTGTCGCCGCGGCGGAGAATCAATTCCGTAGCGAAGCGGGTGCACAAGCCTTCCGCGGTCGGGAAAGCGATTCCGGAAAGCGATTCAAGCGTGGAACTCTTTCCGGATGATTGACTACCGCACACGATGATCTGGGGTAGATCTACGTAGTGACTGACGCCATGGGACCTGAGAGAGTCGACAATGTCGAGCAGATCTCGGTGGTTGCTAGATTGTACCAAACCGGATGTCTTCTGGGAGATATCTTTGGCAAGGTCGGTGGCCATCTTGGAGTGTTTTCTTGCCTGTTTTCGTGTCATCGAGCCTGGAATGAGAAGTGGGGGAAAACGCAGAATGAGTTGGCCTCAAGATTTTGTTCTGAGAGGCGCAAGCTTAGGTAGGTAAAGATTGCACGCAAAGAAAACGACTGGTCTCATGCAGGCATATCTCAGATGCAAGAGAGGTGGTCAGATTAGATCTAATCTACCCTTGTACATATGTAGAGACAACGATCTCGTCCGTGCACAAGGCACAAGTGGATATAAAACCTGTTCTATTCCGTAGGTGCTGCAGAGATACCCGACGTTTTTATGGCGTTTGTACGTAGGTAACCTACGAAACCTGACTCAAATTTCAAGGCTACCTACATCTAGTACCCATCATCTTTATCCCAGTGTTGTACTCATAGCTTTTACACGTGCCCGAATATATTATTAAGGGCATATAGGTACCTTTACGTATACTATTACTTGTATCTTTTACCCGGGAAAGGGAAATGGTATATATTAAAGAGCGTTTGTGCAATGTAAGATAACAAGATCGCCTGTGACCTAATCATCGCCTTACCGTTAGGAAACTTAATTCCAGGCTTTATTCCACGATGGAATATGCTGCTTAATCCTTTAAGGGTTACAAGATCATGAGTATTAAGGAGATCTCAGCTAAGCTTGCTACTTTAGTGATGGTTAATATGGGTGTAAACAACCTTGTACCTACCTAGGTACCTAGGTGTATAAGTAATGACTTAAAGATATCGTTGTCGAGGGCCTATCAAATGTCTTAGGTGCTCGAAAGGTCTAGATCTGAATTATCAAGGAATACTATCTTTTAAAGGTCTGGAGAATTAGCAAACTATTACGTCCCTGCTCCTATCTTCACACTTGCACTTGTTGTAACCTGAGAAAGATGTCTTTATTTTTAAGACAGCACTGTTATTATTAGAAGTGGTTGCTTCTTTATTCGTTGATGGGTGCAATTTAACACCCTGAAATCTCCGTATGTCTTCTGTATAGGCCACGTCGATCAAGTTGAAGTTAGGCAAGCGGAGGAGAAAGGTATAAAGGCTGTGAAATATACCCTTCTATCCTTGTTGAATATCAGAGCCCTTATGAATTACCTATATCAGGCAGTTTCTAAGCTTTTTATCTTAATAATAACTACAGCTATAGAAGTAGTATTGTATTACGAAAGTTCCTTGTTGATTCTCTGCTTACCTTATATTTGCTTTTAATTTTGACGTGGATCTCCCGGCAACAACACGTCTTGGGCGTAGGTATGCCGTTGTTATGATTTAGGTATGTACCTACTTACGTGTATCTCATCACGAGTTGTAATTCACGACGGCCGGCCCATCATGTCTGTTTGGGCACTCAACCTAGCCCTGCATTTGCTCAGCTGCTAAAATGTCCTTGCTGGTTTGTTGGCCCCCACGGACGTAGTTTGCCGGTTGATGCATCGTAAACAACAGGTTAGTTCAGATTTCTTCGAGATTCCTATCGTCGGTTCCAATCTTCTACTTTACACAATCAAACTCGATGGATTTTGTCCAAACAACAATTTACAAATATTTCTTCAAGCAAAACCTATTGGTGACTGACGCAGGAAGCAATTAATCAAAATGCTTTCTGCTCTCGGCAACCTCCCTGGCGAGATGGTCCAGAATGTGGGAAGGCATCTCGACGATGGAGACTTGTCTTCTCTCTCTTGGACCTGCAGCGACATGCATAAGTTACTCACAGAAATCTTATATAAACGGCACATACTCAACCACGAACTCATGTACTATTCTGTCGAGCGCACCGCCTATCTGGAAACTGCCTGCTGCGCGAGCCCGGCCGCGTTCGGCAACAGCGGAATATTGGGCTCAGTACTAGAATCCGCAAACCCTAACGTGGTACTGCCAATGGCCGCGGTAACACCCTCACACCTGTGTTTAGCGCAAGGTTAGGACTATGCGATCTGTCTCTTACTCAACGCCGGAGCCAATATACACATGCATCTCGGTCAAGACGACCACCCATCGGCATCTGCTATAGACTCCTTCTGGGGAACGACGCCGCTGGAATGGGCCATCAGCAATTCATCTCGCTATCGTGTCAGTATGTTGCTAGGCGTCCCGATTCGTTCATCTCTACGCAAGCTTGATCACCCGCAACAAGAGATAGTGCAACTGCGCTACATCCGAGCTGCTTGCCGGAGACACGACCCGGAGGTGATAGCACTCCTACTTCAACACGAGCTCCCCCTCCAACTTCGTGACGACGAAGGAAATTCTTTCCTGAGCATATTCTGCCAAACTATCGAGAGCACTCGGCCGGCAGATTTGACCGTTGAGAAGTCAGCCAAGTGCGTCGTTGCCCTGCTCAAAGGCGGCGCCGATCCTCAGCAGAAAAACGACGAAGGCGTCTCCGCCTTAGACTATATACGTCGCATGATGACTTACGAAGGACCTAGCCACTTTCACCAGGAGGTCGCAAAGGCGTGGAATGAAGCACTGATCCTCGACGGCGAAGGCGTCCGCGAGAGACGTTAGCAATATAGCGGAAGCTGGTTCAAGAACGCCCCAAATCGACCCCCAGCCGAGTACCTATCTAAGCAATCTCGCTCGCCCAGACCTTGCGCTCGACGAAGATTACGGTGTACTATCCTAACCCGCAGCCGACCTTGCGAACATTTTTCATGTATCAATAGTTGCCTACCCATTTGTATACTTGCTCATCGGTCAGTCTATTTTAAGTAGGTAGCCTTTAGGTAGGAGTTTGGCCGAACCGTTCCCGAATGGACTCTCCCGAACCTAGGCACCTAGGTAGATAATTCGACGAACGCGCTGACTTGCATATGAGACCGGACCTTGCTAAGTTGTATCCAAGTCCCTGAAAAGCATGTCCAGTACTAGATTAACCTAGGCTAATAACTTTGAGCTTGACTAACTTTCAGAAGACGGCAATGCTTATAGCAACTGAGCAACTGTATCTGAAATAGTCTCGAGGTTGGCTGTAGTAAGCTATAACTTCTCACATGTTAAGTACCTAGGTTAGGTAGGTATATTCAAGTAACGATAGAACCTCTGATTCATATAACATAGTGCATAAGCTATCCTGCCCCTTTCAATCGGACAGTCTAGACTTACTTAATACCTATTTAGATACCTCAAAGCTTTCGTCGTCCTAGTCGATGTTGCAAGATTACTCAAAGATTTATTAACATATCAACCACGAACGAAATCGGGTCGTGTTAATAACAGCGCACCGTAATCTCAGCCTCGACAATTTGTCAATTCAAACTTTCGCACCTGCTTCTCCATATACTCTGAATGGAGAGTAGTTACAGGATTTGGTATCTCGCCCATTACCGCCTGGACTCGGTCGAATAGAAACGGTCCTGGATTGCACTCGTTATGATCGACCTGCGAATTATCGGCTGCGCCAATATCGTGGATGATGATGTTGGTCATCTTAGAGTAAATGGCTATCACACTTTCTTCTACTTCATCCGCGTCGGGCAGCGGCCAAAGACCCGCTCTTATCAAGCAGAAGATTATGGAACCGAGAATCATCGACTCGCACTTATGCGGACCCATCCAAACGGCGTGGCGGCACCACCTTGGTTTCTCGTCGACCACAGCAAGATTTTCGATCATCTCCCCAAATATATCCAGCAGAGCTCGAATCGTCTGGACACGAATCTTCGAGATGCGTTCTATGACACCATTAGTCTCGCCGTCTAACTTCAGGGGCCAGTCCTTCTCCGGAACGAGTCTTACCGATGATATCGGGCGGATATTGAATTTGATCCGTGCTGGTAGAAAATATCGCCGCCTCACACTCTAGCACCATCCTCCTGGACAAAGCCGAGAAATTATTTTTCCAGCCCATCTCCCACGATATCCATAATACCTTAGGCATCAGCTCGCGTGATTCTCTCTCCAACTTCTCTACCGTCGCCATCCACTTATTTGACCAGGGGCCTAGGGTGCGTGTGACATCGTAAAAGTGCGACAACACGGTCAAATCATACAGCTCATCGACGGAAGGCGTCTTTGGTATCTGCTCGAAGTGTGCGTGCGTGACGGAAAGAAGCACTGCCATCGCGGCAGGCTTGTCTTCGGGGAGGTTCACGATCCAATCCTCAGCATCCTTGGCTTGATTGGACCACCCTTCTGAGAAACTCCCGTACAGCATGCGGTCAAAGACTGGTGACGCGCGCGCAAGAGACCTGGAACAGACGGTGAAGACGACGGCCTTCGAATCGTGATCATGTCCGATTCGGAGTTTGACGTCACCACGACGATCGAATTCTGTAAGCTGAGCTGACATGTCTACCTCCTAGGGATTGTTCCCGAGGCTCACGTTGGGTCTCACATTAGAATCGGTAAGCGCATCCTAATATAATGCGTCGATCGCAGACTTTTCGACGTCGACCTAGGATTTCTTAAACAGAATATTCAGCACTACCTACAACGGACGATCTCGTATCAGAGCTGTCGTAGGCTGAGTCCATAGCCAAGAAAAGCCCAGACTATCTGCCGAGATAACCAAGGAGCCCCCTAAAGCGTGACATAGCCATATTATAATAGGTCTCGGGGTGGCACAGAAACTGGGCACATAGTATACCCGGTATGCTTACGTACCTCTCATTCACTCGATGCATCTTGGGGCTTGGTGTAGCGGTGCCAAGTCGAATTCTCGTGCGATGCCAATAGTTCTAATATAGCGAGCGCAGCATTTTAATAGGCATGCAATCCAAGCTAGGTAGGGCGCTTATAGGCTTGGAGGCTTGGTCGCATCTACCGGGGTAATAGTGTAGGAAGGTTGGCGCATAGTTCAATGCAGGAGCCAAGATACTCGAGGAATCGTGAATCATGTTGGCTACCTAGATAGGGGTTATCTTCTCCAGCGATTCCAGCGAAGTCTGTCTCCTATCATGTCGAAATAAATCGATCTTGATGGGAAGCGTCTGCCCAAGATACCTAGGTAAACTTCATTTCATTGAGTAGGAAACCTCCGTGGCCGGCTCGTTAACACCCTGCAGCTGAACTAATAGCTTCGACATAGATAATATAGGACCGACTCTTTGGAGATTTGAAAAGACCAAAGTCAAACCCGGCTGGTAGATTGACTCTTATCATTTCTACTATCTATTCGAAGTCGTTGCGGCTTGACTGCAGCATTTAAAACCATGCTGCTTTAGACTAGGTCGATATTCTTGTTCTATCCGCCTTCACCTTAGTGGTCCATTGCAGGAGTCAGGTAGGTAGGTACTTACATTTACATCGAGTACCTGTTTGATTCATTACACACTCGGTATTAGAAGACGGTTGATTCCAAGCAGCCAAGGTATTTTACTACCACTAGTATGTCTTTGCTCATTGGGTGGTCGGGCGGGGTGGGCCATCCTTGCATCTTTAACTGTATGATGGCGTCATACCTAGCTGTCGAATCCTGGATGTAGCTCGCCGAAGTAATATGTACCAACCTGCCCCCGTAAAGAAGTTGGTGGGGTTTTGAGCTTTTTAAATAGTATACCGAGAGGGTGGTCCCGAGCTGCTATCGTTTGGGGAGATGGAGAAGAGTTGGGCCCTATTAAATCATGCTGGGGATGTCTGCTAGCAAACAAACCAGTAATGTCATCAGAGCTAGGTCTTGTAATTGGTCCTAACAGCACTACATACTGGCATAACTAACATACTTGGCACTATGTTAATGAATACAGTTTATATTATGGCTTAAGGTTAACCCCGGGACACCGACAGGCTAAGAACAAACAACGTAGAAATATCAGGGGCACAGTCTCGGATAGAGTTATAGGTCGTCACGTAGAATGAAATTTCTTTTTGTGTCGCATGCGCCTGTCATGAGACTACACATCGTTAAGGTTGATGGTGTGATTACTAGAAATGTTTTGGTGGTGATTCGTTCTTAGATGCAGACCGAAACCAATAGAAGATAGTAGTAGATCTGGTGTCTTAACGTGGTACGTGGTGGATGTGGTGAATGATAATATCTAATGTTAGCGTCGGGGCTTTGGATCTACATACGTATACATTATTATGTATGCCCTTGGCATGTTCAAGTACCTCTGTAGTTAAGCAGTTACATACTTCGTGTAGTAAGGGATTCATTCTGGGTCCTACAGCTAGCAGATCTTGGCTTGCAATGCTAAGCCTGCAAGGAGAATTAAATAGATGAAGAGGTTTGGCAGCAACTAACGTTAATTATCTACCGACCTAAGACACCTTATAAAAACCGTTACGGTCAGTTATTCAATTATTGATTCAATAAAGTACCATGTAGGTAAGGCTAGATTTACAGGCTCGTAGCCTTAACGTGATAATCTTCCGGGACTGTGGAACGACAGGCTTATTATTAGTACCCGGATCATGATCTTCGGGATTCTCGGGTGCCAAGACGGCCGGACGCATAAATGGACCCGCTCTTGGGATCTCGTATAAGTCACAGCCACCAAAGGTCTTGACCAATCGACCCGGCCGCCGATAATTCGAATCCCGGTAGTCAGCCTCCAACGATCAACTGCTCGTATGAAATAATTATGATTGGGCTATCTTCCGAAGTGACAAACATAATGTATATTACGCATATTACATGTATCACATATATTCGAATTTCTTGATTCGTTAGTATAAATGGAGCATATACTCAGATCAAGGATACGTTCAATCCTTGGATTCTTTTAACAATACTTTTATGGTGCCAAGTCACGTTTCGACTTGGCCTTTCACGGTTCTTTCTCTTATTACTCGTCCTTTCGCTCTTTGACCGTTCCAAAGTAGTTTCTTAGTTCGTCCATTTTGCTCTTTTGTCGTAGATATTTGCCATAAGAAACTTCGCGCAGTCGCACTTCTAACTATCTGTTATACACCTGCAACTTCAACTTGTCTGCGTAGTATAATTCTGCTAGCTTGACAATACCACCTACGTCGATCTTTAATAACTAGACGAACTACTGTAATGAGAATATAAGATGGACCCGGCAGATAACCAACCCTATTCTAGAGGGTACGAGCTGCGCGATATTCCCGGAGACTCAACTGTAAGTCAGACCCCCCGTTCCGTAGCCATAACAACAAGGAGCTTTTCTAAACTAAATTTCAAAGGATAATCTCAACTACCCGGAGCATGATTCGTATGGCGATCGAGCCTACTCGCTGCGCGGTTACGATCCGGAGAGACCTAATCGCCCTCTTTCCCCTGCTTCCATATATAGTGGCGACACTGCTACCCGAGGCGTTTATCACCTGCCTTCTGCGGCGACCGTGACCCACGCCGCGGATGACTTCGAGCAGAATAACTTCGGCAACGGCTTCGGCTACGGTAGACCTCCGTCGACTTATAACGAGACGGAAACATGGGCGGAGCGACAGCAGGCTCCTATCGAGAGCTTAAGCGGAGGGGGGGTTCGACGTCGCAATACTCGCAAGATCAAGTTAGCGCAAGGTCTTCAGGGTTCCGTCTTGAGCACCGAATATCCGGTCCCGACCCCTATCCGCAACGCCACGGAACCCCAGTATCGAGATCTGGAGGAATTCAGAACGATGCGGTACACGGCGGCCACGTGCGACCCGGACGATTTCACCCTCATGAACGGGTACGACCTCCGCGCGCGCATGTACAACCGGCACACCGAGCTAGTCATAGCCATCACCTATTATAACGAAGATAAGGTCCTCTTCGCCAGAACGATGCATAGCGTGATGCAAAACGTACGCGATATAGTAAAGCTCAAAAAATCGACCTTCTGGACAAAGAGCGGACCGGCATGGGAGAAGATTGTAGTCTGTCTAATATTCGACGGCATCGAGAAAGCCGATAAGAGCGTTCTAGACGTTCTAGGAACGATGGGGGTTTACCAGGACGGTGTTCTCAAGAAGGATATCGACGGCAAAGAAACGGTATCCCACATATTCGAGTTTACGAGCCAGATTTCCATCACCCCTGACCAGCAGCTCATCCTACCTAAAGAAAACGACCCTACCAACATACCTCCCGTACAGCTACTGTTCTGTTTAAAACAAAAGAATAGCAAGAAGATAAACTCGCACCGATGGCTGTTCAACGCCTTTGGTCGCATCCTAAATCCCGAGGTCGTGATCCTCATCGACGCCGGAACCAAGCCCAGTCCAAAATCCCTACTCGCTTTGTGGGAGGGATTCTACAACGATAAAGACCTGGGCGGCGCCTGTGGCGAGATTCACGCCATGTTGGGCAAGGGAGGTAAAAAGCTGCTGAATCCGATAGTAGCTATCCAAAACTTCGAGTACAAAATCTCGAACGTCTTGGATAAACCCCTGGAGAGTGCGTTTGGTTATGTCACCGTGTTACCGGGCGCTTTTTCTGCCTATCGTTTTCGAGCTATTATGGGCCGACCCCTGGAGCAGTATTTTCACGGCGATCACACGTTGTCGAAGATCTTGGGTAAGAAGGGTATAGACAACATGAACATTTTCAAGAAGAATATGTTTCTCGCCGAAGACCGGATTCTGTGCTTCGAACTCGTCGCTAAGGCCGGCCAGAAGTGGCACTTGAGCTACATCAAAGCTGCTAAAGGAGAAACTGATGTACCCGAAGGTTAGCACCTCCTTTTTTTCTTCCTGTTATATTATATTATTACTGTCCGGCGACAATGTCTTCCAGTCATCCTCAGTCATCCACCGCAAAGTCCATCCCCGACCTTGGAAATTTGCTAACATTAAAATTAAATAGGTCCCGCCGAATTTCTAAGTCAGCGACGGCGTTGGCTAAACGGCTCCTTCGCCGCGACGCTGTATTCTCTCATGCACTTTAACCGACTCTATAGGTCCGGGCACAGCATCATCCGGATGTTCTTCCTGCATATCCAGTTCCTGTATAACATTGCCCAGATTTTGTTCAGCTGGTTCTCTCTCGCCTCTTACTGGCTCACTACTATCGTCATCATGGACCTTGTCGGCACTCCAATTCCCGAGACGAAATACCAAGCCTGGCCGTTCGGCGATGTCGCTACGCCGATCGTTAACGTGGTGATCCGATATCTCTACCTGGTTTTTATCCTCATCCAGTTCATTCTCGCTCTAGGCAATCGCCCTAAGGGTTCGAGGCACTCCTACATCGCCTCGTACGTGGTCTTTGGCTTCATACAGACCTATGTTATCGTCCTATCCTTCTACCTGGTATTCCGCGCCTTGCGAACGCCATTCGCCGACCAGATAGATACATCTAGTGCCGGAGCGTTCTTCGTGAGCATGTTCGGCGGCAGCAGCGTCGTAGGCGTTATCCTGCTCGCCATCGTCACCATCTACGGTCTTAACTACGTGGCTTCGTTCATCTACCTGGACCCTTGGCACATGTTCCACTCTTTCCCTCAGTATCTCGTGCTGGCGTCTACCTATATCAATATCGTCATGGTGTACGCTTTCAATAACTGGCACGACGTTTCCTGGGGTACTAAGGGCTCCGACCAGACGGCAGCTCTACCGTCCGTGCACGTCATCAAGGATGAAAAGACCGACGCTCCCGTGATCGAAGAGGTCGAGAGGGAACAGGAAGACATCGACAGCCTATTCGCGAAGACCGTATACAGAGCCCTTGCTCCGGTCGAGGAAGAAGAGGTCGTGGAGAAGAAGGACACGGAAGACTCATACAAATCCTTTAGGACCGGTCTAGTTATCACCTGGATATTGTCAAATTTGCTGCTTATCGTCCTCGTCACAAGCGACGAGTTTGAGTCGTTGGGCGTAGGGGTAAGTGTCCAGCCATAATTTTAATCGTCAGTTCTCTGCTAACAAACTCGTATAGAAAGCGTCCCAGACCCGAACTCCCGGATATTTCCGCTTCCTCTTGTATGCTACAGCTGTCCTCGCCATCGTTCGCTTCATCGGATTCCTGTGGTTTATAAGTAAGACAAGCATCATGAGCTGCTTCGCCAAGAAATAAACTTGGTTGAGTATCAGGCGTTTAGGAGGGGTCACATACTTAAAGATTTAGAAGATGGCGTCCGGCAAGATACTGGAGCTTCGATATTCGGATTTATAAGTTTACCGAGACCAACAAACTAGCCGCTGTCACTGACGTGCTCTTCACGACGAAGGCTAAATTTTAGAACATATAGAAATCCGATTCATTATCGGGCTAGGCCATATTTTATTAGTATACTACATAATGTAATGGGGCGTGGATTGGGTCGGCGATATTGCAGAAAAGCTTTGAAAGAGACATTCACGTAAGTAGATTCGCCACCGGGTCGATAATAGCGAGTCCGTCATGGGGCATCTCAAAATACTATCCACGGAATTATGAACCGACAATAAGGGCAGCTAGCATGCCCGAGGCGGTCCGGCTTCGGGATGCTTTTATTATGTGAATATTGATACCAGAAAATGAGAATGGGCTAATATGGAAATCCTTAATTTCTTATTATACTGTGACTATTTTGGCTACTGTACCTGATCATGAACACAGGCGGTGAGCCTCGACGAAAGCATAACTAACGTATGAATATTAACTATGGATTATCATAACGATCCCAGCCTTTACTAGCAAGTGTTGATAATCTAGGTAGTATTCTGGCATAGTAGTTGAGGCTTTGTTTGTTCTATAGTGATGAGGAGAGTTAGATGGCTTAGGTAGGTAAACGCGCTCACAGGGGGCACAGCTTGATGCCTTAGCGTGCCTAGTTTAGCATACTATACGACGAAAGACTATGTAAATCATCCCGTGTTCCCATAATGTATCTGAGGTGCGAACATTGTTAGATAACGAAACAGATATTGACACTACCCAAGTATTGCTTGTTTCGCTTCGATACGCAACTTATGAGCTGGTGGTCTTGTTACAATAATGAACTAGGAGTCGTTGAAAAGCCAGCCCGATCTTTGAATATCTTTGTATTAAAGCTATTGTCGATTCGAATATTTCAATGTCGTTAATATCATGCCGTAATATGATAGTGGTATTTCGATCAGAGCTACTCAACGGTAGATGTTCGACGGCAATGTCACGAATTCCCACGCGCGGCTGCTACGACCGTAATATGGAATAGACCACCGAGAGAAAAGCAATAGCTTGCGACTATATTACGTTTTATTTTATGACAAATCCCTTTCTAGACCAATCGGTAGTCAGGCAAGATGTGTGCAAAGCTAGAGGCATATCGCTACGCAGCTACTGTCGTAAAAACTCAGTGATAACAGCAATGAACTGATCGTATCCGTCGATATACGAAACGTGCCCGGCATCTTTTATGACCTCAATCCCAATAGAAGCCTGCGAATCCTTCTTTTGTAGTCCCCGCTGTACGCCGTCCCTTAACTGGAGCATATGCTCAGGCAGATCTGTATCGTTTTCCCCCACTACGAATAGAGCACCGTCGATTCCTTGGCCTGCCTTCCCGACCAGCGGGAGTAGATCAAAAGTGTCGCTACGTAGAGCTGCGCAGCAAGTTTCAAAGCCGTCGATGCTCGTCGTGAGCATTATCTGTCGCATGCGGCGCGTCTCATCCGGGTTAGCATTCATCCACTCCAGGCCGAACCAGCGTTCGAGAATGGACTGGACAGTCCCGTCCATGGCACCCGCTCCCCGAGCTTGCCGAACTAGCGGGTCAAATATATCGACGCCTTCGGCTTTGAGTGGAGAGCAGGAAATAGTATTGCAAACCACCAGCTTCCCGATAATGCCGGGGTACTTCGCGGCGAATACTATACCGATCGCTGCACCCATGCTTACACCGATCCAGGCGTCCACCCGCGAAATAGAAAGGTGGGACAAAAGTTCTCGAACGTCATCAGCCATGGTCTCCAACGTAGTCGAGGAGAGGTCTACCGGGACGGAAGAAGCTCCGTGGCCGGGATGATCATAACGCAACACGCCGAAGCCCTTAGAAGTAAGCTTCGGAACTACATGGTCCCAAGTAGCGAGCGGAGCGGCTAAAGAATTAGAGAGGAGGACAACAGGAGCTCCTGGTTTAGAAGGTACTGGCGTCAAGACGTAGGAGAGCGTGCGCGAAGACGGCAGAGATAGTGAAGAGATTGAAGTTGCCATGTTGCCATGTATTATGCAAACTTGGATTCGATAACTAAGGCGATACCATGCAATTAGCCAAGAACCAGGTTACTATTCATCTTCGTTCATATAGCATAGTTTAGTGGTTCCTCTCGGATTATTGACCTAGGACCACGGGGCTAACAGGTTAGTTCCGCTATACCCGGGTTGATTTATTATATGCTAGGTTTAGTTATCATATCAATTCTCAGTATCTCCGTGTTATCACCGGATTTTATTCTTGGAAGAATTTGTATTGAAGTCATTCCGTCACGGTACTGTGATATAGCTTCGGCCCGGAGCAGCTGAGGGTAAGTATATGTAAGGCTGCCGGGCTACTATACAGTGACTTTGCGATATCCTTACACGCTATAATTGGAGGGTTTCATCACAGTAGTTATATAGGTTAATTTACAACAACAGAAAACTTAACTACAATGTCCGTCTTATACAGGATCTATAGTAATAGTCCGACTGTCTGTTACGCCACACTCCCTGACACTACTAAATTATAATGGGATCCCGACCTTATACATTTCTCCATTAGTTTTTCGAAGGTGACCGAAGCAAACTTCCTTCTCACTACTCTAACAACTGGAACAGTGTATACCGCGGGCGAAATGTAATTCTCTTTAGGAGCTTATCACAACCAACCTAAGGCATGCATAGCCGTAGTACGAACTGGCTATGCATTCTAGTTATGCACCAAGTCATTCACAACTACGTCGCTTATCCTGAATAGGTGATCAAGTCTTTTACCTAAGGTTCTTAATGGAGCAGTACATATTACGATACCTTTTCCATTCCGCTTGGCTACAACCTCCTATTACGTTTAACTTGCATATCTTGGGCACCTGCAAAGTCTTTGAGTCATCAACCTTATATAAGGTTGTATTAAATCCAAATAATTGTTGCCTTGCAAACTCAATAAACATTTACTTAGCATTCTTCTGATTCGCACCCGTATTCGACTGTTACTCTAGTTGCTACCTTAGGCATTTACTAAAAATTCCAAAGTGCGAACCTTCCTCCTAATAACAAATCCTCCCACCAACAACTACACGAGAAAGACGCATCCTCCAATTCTAACATAATTATCATATCTTACTTTTCACCTCGAACATCCTAACTTCACTTCAACATCTTCATTCTAACTTGAACATTTCCATCTGCTAATATTAACCCCAACACTACCACTAATATACATCTTCTTCCAGTACCGGATAAAGCTTGCAATATCAACCAAAGCTCGCAAAGTCAACCAAACGGTAGAGTACCACAGACACAATAGCTTGTGTCATTCTCATAGTCACCTCCACCACAACCTGAGGCGACAAAGCTGTCGCATCACCACATCAAGCCTCCCAAAACGAAATCCCGAGACAAGGGCAATTCGAAAGATTCGCATGGGGACCTTACCAACCAAACCCAACACCAGCGCAAAACGAAAGAGGCCTCAAGAACATGGACCTACTCGAAAAATACGCCAAGGCCATAGAGCGAGTCCCAACCTCGGCACAGACAGCCACATCATCGCGACGAACCCCACCGGACCAAAACCAGTACTTTATGAAGATCCGAGATGACTTCTATAAAGATGGTAAATAGGAAGAAGACCCCATCATGCATTGGAGCCACGCCGTCTGTTGATATTAACACTATTTTATATAACACTATATATAACACAACACGACTTTATTATTCATAAAGCTAGCCCGACCATATTCAAAAGCTGATTTCAGCCCTTTAACGCCTAAGTTTTTCTTTCCCTATAGGTGCTTGTCAGAATTAGGCTCTGTTCATCGGAACTGTCCTGATCCCTCTCGGAACCATGTATCACCTATTGGTATGTGGCTGCAAGGCCCTTTCGTCCCTGGCCAATTTGGACTATAGTCAGGATGTTCCGGGTATCGGCCAGACCGTCCCGAAGTCTAAGGCCTTAGTCCCTGGCCGCAAGGGTCGCCAACGATTCGTTGGCTACGACGATGAAGAGGGCGTATACAAGGACGAGTACGGTGAGGATGACGACGAAGGTGAAGTCAACGGTCTTAATCGACTCTAGCGTCAAGTCAGAGACAGAGCCCGAGTCTACTAAAACTGCAATGACAAAGTTCTCGGCGTTAAGTCTCCTATACTATCTGGCCCTAGAAATCACATTAGCCAGACTCTTCAGAAGTCCAACGCACAGGCTTCTGTCCGCAAAAGCCAAAAATTCCTTACCTACAATGATGAAGAGGGCGAGAATAATGATAACAAGAGTGAAGTCGGTGGTAAGTGCGATAACGCCGGGGAGGAAGAATCCTTCACAGAGAACGAATGGGGGGGATTCAACGATAGTGAAGAACCCGACGGTAACAACTCTGATGGTAACGACTCCATCTCCGACACAGAACTGCAAACTGGGAGCAAACGCAAAAAGTCAAGCCACTCGCTCAGCCGCGATCCAAAAAGACCAAGGTTGAGCTGATCATCACCGCGGCGGAACTCATTAGCGAAATAGACAAGAACCTCCCTGTTCCAGACAACGACTCCGACCTTCTAAGATTTCAACGAGGAATCTTGGCTATAGTCTTGGGCCTATTCAAATGGGCGAAGTTGGGTTCGAAAGATCAAAGAGGAGCGTGAAATATCAATCACGATGCGCAATTCATTATTACAAAAAAGAAACACGACTCAATCAATGTGCGACCTGATATTCAAAAGCATGCCTCGTAAATGTCAACAAATTTTCGGAAAAGAAGAATTACAGCCCGAAGATTTATTGGACCTTTCAGAAATTCCCAAGAGCTGCAAGCAATGAGGTATATATACTAGACATTCCAACAGAGATGCATCCCGGGGAAGTGATTTTTGGCAAGTACCAACAACTAAGGGAGTTGGTTAAAGTCATCAAAAAGGACGTCGACCATAAAACCGCAATAAATGCATGGGTATATTACGGTTCGTCGAGTAATAAGAAAGGTGGCCGTGTCAGGACGGAACAAGAGACGGCAACACCAGCGAACCCGGCCTAATAAAGTCGCGCTTGAAGAGAAGTGTTAGAGAGAACCCTTGATGTATGCCATACGTAGCTGTATAGTATCCGTATAACGGTATGAATCTATTAACGGTTAACCTTCTATCCTCTTTCGAGAACGCATTGCGCCCCTTATACCTGTAATATGTAGATCTATGCCTGTTCCTGACTAGTCCCACTTATACCCCGGCGGCCGAGGCCGTGACGGCGGAGGGCATGGACGTGGCGGAAACAAGTAGCATCATCTCTTGATAATCATGAAACAAATCCTTGGCGAAAACCTCGCTACTAAAGAGATTACACTCAATAGGAGTCAAGGATTCATCAGTGTTTTTAATATGAATGCTGCGCATGAAGTCCTCAAATTGCTATCTAGTAAACATCTAGGTACTCTAGGTCGACTAATATTCCACATATTAGACCCAAATCTTAGCACAGTCAACCCTTAAGGTGTTTAATTTCTATGTTTGAGGGCCGGATGGATCAAACTATCACGAATGACTCAGTGATGATCCCAGGGGGCACTATTCTCCACTGGCTGATCCTGTTCTTCATCAAAAATGTCGAAGCCTATGTGTCGCCTGGGGTCAAGGAACCGAAGAGGCCCCCGTTCCGAAGACAAATGATCGACGACGACAAAAGCATCGTCTGGAAGCTTTTTAAGTCGTAGATTTTCTTTCATGTGCGCTTCGTTGGTGGATTTGGGAATAACTGGTATACCTCTCTGCACGGCCCAAGACAAGCAAACCTAGGTACGTTTAGATGTTCAGTACCTGATATTCAAATATTACCGGGACAGGGGGAGACACTACCTGTGCGGGAGTCATGTTACACTGGGTGGCGATGTCTTTGATCTGAATAACGGTTAGCAAAAGCTATATTTATCTAATGAGAGCCGACTATTCGATGCATACCTTTTGGTCTTCTGTAGGAAACGGCTGGTCGGGGTTTCCTCGAACGAGGGGTATCGGCCGGCCACCGAGGGGTTGATGAGCCATGACGAGGATATCATGCTGGACCGAGAAGTGGTGGAGCTCATGCTGTGGGAGATATCTGCGAATAAAAAGACGCTGTTAGATATATAACTTCGAGATAGATCCGTCCTGTCTTACGGGTGGATTTCCACTTGAATGACGGCCGGGATAATCTTAGCGATCTCGAGAATCCTTTTAGTCTTAAGAATGTTGAAGTTAGACAATCCTGCCACACTAGTTTAGCATGCGGTTGCTATGTGAAGATGCGGATGATTAGTGTTCTACACATACCAATCGAGTGTACTTTGCCAGAGGCGACAAGCTTCTCCATTGCTGCCCAAGTTTCTGGATATCTTCTGGACCGTTCATAGTCTATTACAGGCTGTTCGAATACATGAGCGACCGAAAACAGAGAACATGTTTTAAAATTGGCATATCACCTTGCCGTTACCGCTTGGGTGCCTCACGGTCTTGTTATTCTTGCCGGCCTTATAAGCATGAGGGACTTTGGTATTGCTTGAGGTTAGTACTTGAGGCTCTGGTGCGAATCCAAGACGAATTCCGTTACGCACAATGCATCAGATATAAGTCAACTAGAACCATTCAGTTTCTCTTATAGCTTTAGAACTTAGGGTATTCCAATACCATAATCCAGTTGAAGATTCTCAAGCGATTCATCCAAGGCTCTTGCAACATCGGAAGGATCATGCCATGTCTGGGCGCTAGGAAATGTGTCGGTTAGTTCACACAGCATCTCCTGGTTCAAATGTCGACTCACAGCTTAGACGTCATAAAGATCTTTTCCCGGGGGATTCCACTCTCCTTAATAGCCTCGCCGATTTCCTTTTCATTCCCGTAAGCGTGGGCCCCATCAATGTGCCGATAACCCTGGGCCAGAGCCAACTTCACAGCATTCTTGACTGAAGAGTTTCCCTCCTCGCCTTGAAAGGTTCCAAGACCGATGGCAGGAACCCTCCGGCCATTATTCAACACAAAGGTATCGGGGAGGTCCATGGTATAATTGATAGCGAGGCGAAGTCGACTTGAAACTATCTTACGGCAGTATTGTAAGGAAAATGTTATATGTGCGCCACACAGATGGTGAGGGGAACAGTAACAATGCTCGATAAGAGACAAGTATACAGTATATTATACAGTAAACATGGTTATAGAGACCCTTGAGGGATTTAATTCAGGGCCTTACTTTACATAAGGTGTAAGCAGTCAATGAATTGGCCTAGCATAACTGCCTTACATATGGATAACCCCTTAGGGGGTAAGCTCGAATTGGAACAAAGAAACTTCCACTCTCAATCATCTTCTTTACCATATTGTTGTGTAAGCCTTCGAATCTCGTCGACTGCCCTGTTACGAGTTAGTTCTCGTGGCTAAAAAGATTCACAGCCCGGGAGGAGGTTGATCGCCTACATTTGCAGAAACGTTCCCTGATGCGGAAACATGGCGGCAGCATGCAGATTGAATCTCCTATCATGTAGTTATTGAGCCACTAGGACGTTACATCTATAAATCATCACAGGTGTTACGTACAAGGAGTAAAGTGCATTCCGATCGTCGTAGTCTTCCTGAGGCTCGGACTTGGGGATATGAGAGTGATATGCTTTAAAGTATCGACGAGTGAACTTGTTTCGCTCGGGGCGCCAGTTTCCAAGCTCGTCTGCGAAGATAGTAAGCTACCTGCCAGGTGCCCAGTAAAGGGGGGTTGACATACATTCGTTATGCGCCCAGAAGCTAGCCGGGTCATATACTATACCCTCTTCAGTACCTTCGTCGACAATTCCAGCATTGCCATACCAGAGGTCGCCATGAACTAGTGAAGGCAATATCTTACGGCCGTCACTCTCTAGCGGGCGTAGAAGCCGTGGGATTATCCTATTAAACAAAGTAGGGAGAAGACTATCTAAGTCGGCGTCAGGTCCGGCTCTCTCCTCTCGAATCCTTAGCACGTGTCGGAGGCCATTTGCGAAGAAAGCCTCCCAGCTGTCGAACCAAGAATTGTCCTGCGGTAGATTGCCATTGTACGTCACGCAGTGGAATCCAAACTTTCCATTAGGAGAAGTATGACTAGAATGAAGCCGTGCGAGCTTTTCTGAAAAGCCTTGAGGTTCGGGGACGCCTTCGACAAAGTCGTAGAATTTGCAAATATAAAAGTGCGACGTCGGATCGCTGGCGAAGGTACCCCAAGCGATTGGTTTGGGGCAGAAGTCGGGGGTGATGTTATAAATGGCCAAGGTGGACTCAAATTCGCCTTTGAGCGCCTCACGACCGTGGTGTCCGATAGAAACTTTCATGAAGTAGTCTTCCTTTCTTCCGTCGTTGTGTAGTACGCTGACACGAGTTGCTTTCGCCCACGATGACTCTCCATGGTATTTCGTCTCGAGAATCTCCGCGACATCTGGAAGAGCTGCGACCTGTTAGCAAGAAGATAATTTACGGGAGGGGAAAATCCCATCGACTCTACCAGCAACTATGTTATTGTCTATTAAGGCCACAGGGTCCATTGCTACCTCCTATCTTGGGCACGGGTTGCCTTCGGTTTCGAATTTGTGCTACCTAGCTATCGTGATATTCAAAATAGGGATAGTATAAAAGTCGAAAGTTCGATCACTGTGTATTTAATATAGGTACGTGCCCGATATAGATTTAGATGTCTGTATGGTGGCCTGGTAGTTAATCTTATTGGAGGGTGAAGGAAATTCCGCCGCCGCTTACAGGGCGATTGGCGCTGCTTATCAACATGAACTCAGGTGAGGCTGAAACGTTCTGTGAATGACCTGCTACTGGTCATCGGCCTAGCCCTAAGAAGTTGAGGAAACGCTCAAAAATCTCCCATAGGGCCTCTTAGTCGTAGGTTTGCCATATCCACGAGAATCTTAATCTCTATACAATGCTAGAGCCTTGAAAGGTTATAAAGATGGGACATGGACCAGGTATGTGGAGCTTTCGTAGGCCGTTCTGATTCCGCATAGGGGAATATCGGGAACTTATAGCACATCTTTTCATCAGAGATTCACAAGAAGCTGAGCAACGTGCTGTCCAACTCTATATCTGACGGCACATCATTTCTTTACGGTCGTACGCAGAGCGCCGAGTCGATTCCCACGATACCCGATGACGAGACCCACGGCGTCCTCGGTCTAACAACCCTTCACGAACCGTTACCTCCTACCAGCGTTTCGGCGGATATCGTCTTCGTTCACGGACTCGGCGGAGGCAGTCGAAAAACATGGTCCTATTCCACCGACCGGCATCATTACTGGCCGCAAGCATGGCTTCCAAAAGATCCAGACTTCGCAGACATACGTATTAACACATTTGGCTACAAGTCTGACTGGGTGGAACGACAGCAGAGCATCCTCAACATTCACGACTTCGCCGAGTCGCTAGTTGGAGAACTAAAAAACAACCCTAGCATACGGCGTAGTAATACACGTATCATATTCGTCTGTCATAGTATGGGCGGATGCGTTGCTAAGAAGGCTTACATTCTGGCACGCCAGGATCCGACTTGTAAAGATCTCGCCGGTAGAATCCACTCGATCTTCTTCTTAGGCACTCCCCACCGGGGCAGTGATCTTGCAGCAATCCTAAAGAGGTTGTCTATCATCGCCTGGGGCTCGAAACCGTTCGTCTCCGACCTCACCCCCGACTCGTCTACATTGAGAGATATTAACGACACGTTCCGTCACTATGCGTCGGATCTGCGTCTCTGGTCCTTTTATGAGACGGCCCCCGCCAAGCCTAGGGTTCTGAATAAAATCGTAGTTGAGAGACATTCGGCGACGCTTGGTTATCCTAACGAAGAGATTGTTGCTATGAACGCTGACCACCGCGAGCTATGCAAATTCAACAGTCCGGCTGATCCTAACTACAGAATCCTACGAAATGCCCTCCATACGGCTGCTGACATGCTAAGATCATTGCCAGTTCGAAACTTGACCCCTTTACAACCTTACATCAACATGACTTCCGCGCAGAAGGATTCGAACCAGGAGGGCATTAAACAACGCCTAATGACGTTCCTAGACGTCGTCGATACGCTAGAAGACGAGCTTCAGATTCTCCAATTGCTCCAAGAGCCGGGCTCTTGCCGGTGGTTCTCGGAAGCGAAACGGTTTATCTCGTGGAAAGTAGATGGGTCCCCAGGGATACTCTGGCTTGCTGGGAGACCGGCGTCCGGAAAATCAGTTCTTTCTAGCTACGTAGTTGAGCAGGTGAAGTCGCTAGGTGCTTCTTGCAGCTACTTTTTCTTCAAGGAGAAGGAGGCTAGCAAGTCCACGCTAAGCGATTGTTTGCGTTCTCTCGTCTTTCAGATGGCAATGCAGGATAGCCAAGTCACAGAAATGCTCCTTCAGCTCGAAGGCGAAGGTGTGAATTGGGATATAACCGATGAGCTGAGCGTCTGGAGGAGGCTCTTCATCAGTGGGGTCTTCAAGCTACCTTCTATCTCTCGCCACTTCTGGATAATCGACGGCGTGGACGAGTGTACCAACTTCAACTCTCTCTTCACCAAGAGGATCCTCGGTACATTGCCTAAGAGTCTCCGCCTTTTCGCTACCAGCCGGAATCTAGAAGAGATCGAACGTGGCTTGGCGTCTCTCGGTTCACGTGTGAGTCTACAATCCCTATCCGAAACTGATACGCTTGGCGATATGCGCCTCTTCGTGACTTCGCGGCTCAGAGAGCTGGACCGCCTAGAAACCGACGAAGGCGTCCGTGCGATGTGCGAAAAGATTCTAGAGAAGTCATCCGGTTCTTTCTTATGGGTTCGGCTCGTACTTCAAGAGTTCGAGAATGCTTGGACCAGCGAAGCCATGGATGCTGTCTTGCGTGAGGTGCCTATAGACCTTCAAGAGATGTACGGCCGGATGCTTCAATCGATGGGGAAGGATAGGCGCAGAGTCAAGCTTGCAAAATCAATCTTGACGTGGGCTACTCTAGCTTGCCGACCGCTCACGGTTGAAGAGCTACGCGTTGCCGTCAAGATTGACGTGAATGAGACGCTACAGAACATGAGCAAGGCAATTCCTAGCTTATGCCACCAACTTGTCTTTGTCGACGGCACCGACAGGGTGCATATATTACATGCGACCGCGCGGGAATTCCTTCTCGACGAGAGTCTTCACTCGGAATTTGCCATCCGCGGCGTTGAGAAGCACGCCTATCTCGGCTCTCTGCTGCTTCGGTATCTCACCAATACCGCCTTTAAGCAGCACGCACTACCACGGCGACAGAGCTCAGGATTCCGTGGGTTCACAAAGTCTGCTAATAGTATTTCCTCCGACCTTTCTTTGCTGGACTACGCAGCCTGCTTCTTCTCTGAGCACATATACCGAGGCACCTCGAGAGACGATATCTTGATGGCTGAACTGTGTACCTTCCTAAAGGGCAAAACGATCCTATCGTGGATTGAATATGTTGCTAGACATGGGAACTTGGGCGATATCGCCAGGGCGGCAACAAACCTGCGTGGATATCTCGGCCGAAGAATGAAGTACCTACCTCCCATGGATCCCTCGGCTTACCTCGTCGACTGCTGGGTGACTGATCTAATCCGAGTCGCCGCGAAATTCCGATCCCAGTTGCTGGCCTGTCCGTCGTCAATACATTACATCATCCCGTCGTTCTGCCCTTCGGAATCTATCATTTCAAGGAGCTTTGCCAACAGTGCTCGACCTTCGGCGATAACTGTTAAGGGTGTCCCTACGGCCACGTGGGACGATTGCTTGACCCGTATCGATTTCGAGCGAGGTCGAGCCACTGCCCTAAGCCACGATTCCCAATTCTTGGCGATCGGCTTGTCTACTGGGCAGATTTCACTATTCGACCCTCAATCTGTTCAGCGCGTGGCGGACCTTATTCATCCAGAAAGGGTCAGAATGCTAGGGTTCAGCGACGATGGCGAATATCTTGCTTCTTCCGGTGCCAAAAACCTAATCGTCTGGCAGACAAGATCTAGGACGCAGAGGTTTTCATTTCCGCTGATTTCGGAGCTTATTGCTTTTACTTTCTTAAGCAGCGACGAGTTTCTTTGTGCCTTTGCGTCTGGAGAGCTGACCAAATGGTAAGTCTTATGATCACCCTATTTGGGTCTTACCAATCGCGACGTTGCCTCTCGAAGTCTTACTCCGGAGATGGTACTAATTCATTACCTAACTAGGAACCTCGACACCGGCGAACACGAAACGATCTCCTGGAGAGCCATCCACGACGAAGATATCACCGGTACTATGGAGATTCCTGATCAGCCACCCAAAAAGGCGGCCTTCTCTACTGCGGGTGAAACGGTGCTGCTCGCCGTGGGTTACCGGAACCACCCAATCTTCATCTGGAACGCCTTTGAGCTGCAGCTGCTAGGGCAATGCGTAGCCGACGGAGCCAACGGCATAGACGATATGGCATTTAACCCCAACCCCGAGATTGCCGCGCTGGTAGTGTCCTACAGCGACGGCAGGCTGTTTCTCTTTGATTATATAACAATGATACCCACGTTCACTCGTCCGAGCGTATTCGCTAATAGCATCGCCTGCTCCCCTGACGGTCACAGCCTCGTCACCGGCAGCATCAGGGGCATTATTGAGGTATTCGAATTCGACCAGGACCATGCCGGAAGCATAGTACTAGTTCCTATATACGGCATCCAGGCATTCGACGACTCGATCCGTAGTGTAACATTTAGTGCTGATGGCCTACGCTTCGTCGACCTTCACGACCAACAATGCCGTGTCTGGGCACCTACAGCCCTGATGCGGAAGGAAAACGAACTAGAGAGTGTAAGTGACATTGTTCCGCATCCCCCCAAGATAGTCGATATTCTCGAGGACTCGGAGACCCCAGAAATCACAAGCGATTTAGCTGCGTCTTCCAACGGCGGCTGCGTTGTTGCAGGCAAGAGTAACGGTGAGGTCTTGGCGTTCTCCGCTGTCGACGGGAAGGAATTAGGCGTACTGTATCAGCATGGAAGAGGTGTATCCGTAATCAATCTCGTCCTAGGAGAAGCACGCAATTTCGTTGCTTCAGCAGATGATTCTGGAAGGGTATTAGTGGCAGAATTGTCTTCGCCCCTCCCCGCATCATCAGCGTCGCAGAAGCTACCAGCCGCGCGTATCATCCTAGACCACAGGTTCGGTGCCGCTGTTGTTAGTCTACTCCTTAACCCCTCGGCAGGTCGGCTCCTAATTAGTGGGCGCGACACCAACCAACTTTGTGATTTGCTATCAGGTCGGGTTTTGAGTTCGATATCTCATGTCGTCAATAACACCACGTCGATGGCTCTCAGCCGGCAGGTTGCCTTTTTGGACATAGGCGGAAGTTCGACAGCAGATGTCGCCTTCCAGCATCCAACTAACGAGGAATGGGTCGTGTTGATGTCTGCTGATACCGCTCGAATCTTCTGCTGGTCCGATTTCCACGAGTTAACTACCGCGAACGGCATCCTCCTCCCAAACCCCTTAACACCCGACGAGCCTCGTCCCCTCGAGCAGTTCCCAACTAAAACGTCAATTACGCGTAGCTCATCGTATTATGTTGGACAGGGTTTCGTTCTTGAGTTGGTTAGAACGTCACCCTCCGTAGCTCCACGGCTCTACGTCTGGCCAATATCAGCATTCAACCCGACAGCAGCGTTACCTCTAACACGACTTCCTACGGAAGTGAGTCTGAGTAGTATCAACACGGAAATTTTAACAGTACTCGGCATCATAGGTCAGTCTACGGTTCTCCTTATAGATGTAAACCTTTGGGTATATAGCATGGAGCTTCGCCCAGTGCAAGCGACACACGCCGTCCGTGCCAGCTTTTCCTCCGAAACTACAATAGTGCAGGACGAACCCGAAACAATTACTCCAAAAATGCTGCCAGTGTTTACGAGGAGACATTTCTTTGCTCTAAGCGAGTGGCGCACGCCTGGTGGAGAGCTACGGTGCGCGGTAGCGCAGCGTGCAGGTAGTCCAGATTTCTTCTTTGCGAGTAGACAGTACATCGTCGTAGTCCAAGGCGGATTGGACTTCTCAGATATCATGGCGGCTACGTAGGCACTAAATGTACAAAAGACTGTTACATGCAACGAATACGAATATGGAACCGGAGACACGGCGTAATCGAGCCCACCTGTATGAATATTAAATAGGAACCTAACCTAGATTTCGTTTAATCCAAGCAGAAGCTGTGCTCTCCACCCGCTGTCTAACCTACCTAGGTATCCCTAAAGTCGGTGAGTGAGGGGTAATCCACCATGGTCAAGACAGGGTCGAACGAGCTTAAAACACATAAGCTCGATGATCCACCGGTGCAGGGAGTAGTATTTTCATCGATGTTATTGGATCACGCAGCGGCCGAGGAGATTTGGGGAAATGTGTTGCGGCAAAGACTACCGGGTAGGACGATATTCCCCAGACATCCCCAGACATCCCCAGAAATCCCCCAGAAATCCCCCAGAAATCCCCCACAGAACGTCCATGGAAGATTGGCAACATACCTTAGGTACCTAGGTTAATAACCCATCGCCGTCTCAGACTCTAGACAACTTATGAGTCGTAAAGGGATAGCGAACAGCTCCCATGCGGGTATGTCGACGCTAGCTAAACAAGTAGGCGGCCCGAGGTCGCGGCAACTCCAAGACCATGATCAGTCGGCTTGGTAGATACAGTATCCACGCGAAAGCCAAGCTTATTTCGTAAGTCTTCACTCATCAAGAGAATCGTGAAATTTATCTCATCTCTAACTACAATAAGCTATACAGCCGCGCCCTAGTTCAGATCCTTGAGCATGATATCAGGTTTTATTTCTTACCTAGGTAGGCATCAGCTGATTTTCGCAACCAGATTTGCAATGCTGATCTTTGCGGGGAGAAGCCGGCACGATGTCACAGCTATACGTTAGGTACTTGGAAGAGGGGCTGGATAAAGTCGATCACGCATGCCGAAGTTGCGATTGCTTGCAATAGCTCAATGCAGTATAGTAACCTAGGTGCTTGTCTATTGCTATATAACCGAGGTATGTATCCAGCTCTAAACTTCCTGTTGTTAGAAGATGCAGCTATATTCATGTATCACTCTTCAATGGTTTGAGCGTCCCGGTGCTTTAAGGGTCAGGATTTTAGACTCTTGGCAATACTCGACACCTTCACCCGAAAGAAACCGTAATGGCCGTGGCAATCTCTCAAGTGTCCTTCGAGCATCACAGAGTAGCCCTGGGTATTGGAGAGGCTTCTCCTCGAATATCATGGCGTTTCGACGGTCTTGCTGCCGACTGGAGGCAAGGCGGATATAGCATTGAGTTATCACGACATGGGCAAAATCAAACCGGGCTGCCCCAAATTGAGCTATTTCATCATAATTCCTCAGATTCTGTTCTTGTGCCTTGGCCCACCGTCTCTTTAGCATCAGCAGAGTCCGCCACGGTTAGAGTAAGAGCGTATGGCGAAGGAGACCAGCCCGACACTCCATGGTCCGAACATGTCAACGTCGAGACCGGAATCCTGAATCAGGACGATTGGTTAGGGGCTCAGATGGTAAGCGCAGACAAGGAAACAGAGAAGAATGCCCCCCACCAGCCGCTACTCTTTCGCAAAGAGTTCTCAGTTAATAGTACTTGCGTGGAGAAAGCGCGATTGTATATTACCGCTTATGGCTTATACGAAGCACAAATCAATGGGAAAAGAGTCGGTACTACTGTACTCGCTCCCGGGTGGCAGTCTTACAAGCATCGTCTAGTCTACGATACTTACGATGTGACAGACCTACTGCTCGTCGGAGATAATGTCCTCGGAATAACAGTTGGTGAGGGTTGGTATGCTGGCCGCCTCGGATTCGGAGCTGGCAATCGCAATCTTTGGGGAGATACGCTGGGTGCTTTGGCCCTATTAGTTATTACATCCAATGGGAAAACGCAAAGTATCAGAACAGATGAGTCTTGGACGGCAAGTACAGGTCCAATCGTGACCTCTGAAATATACAACGGAGAAGCATACGACTCGAGGCTAGAGCAAACTGGGTGGTCAACCCCTGGATTTCTTGTCCCGGATACGGCAAATTGGATCGCAGCGAAAGAGCTTGAGGCACCTTACGGAGTATTGGCTGCCCCTGACGGGCCCCCTATCCAACGTATCGAAGAGATCAAGCTGAAGGAGATATTGACATCTCCCACCGGAAAGACTATTCTTGATTTCGGACAGAACTTCGCCGGGTGGCTTAGGCTTACTGTCAAAGGTAAAAGAGGAGAGACTATAAAATTAGTACATACCGAAGTTCTGGAGGGCGGAGAAGTAGCGACTCGACCACTTAGAAATGCTACTCAGACGGACTACCTTACGCTCTCGGGGCAGCTTCAAGTTTGGGAACCAAGTTTTACTTACCACGGATTCAGATACGTCATGGTCGACGGGTGGCCCGAAGACGATACCCCGCTAAACAACGACTCGGTGAGTGCGATAGTAATACATTCAGACATGGAGGAGACGGGGTTTTTCGAGTGTGCAGACGAACTCCTAAACAAGCTACACAGAAACGTGAGATGGTCTATGAAGTCCAATTTCATGAGTATACCAACCGACTGTCCCCAAAGGGACGAGAGACTTGGATGGACGGGAGATAGCCTCGCGTTTGCTCCCACGGCCAACTTTCTCTACGATACTTCCGGCTTTGTATGTTGCATGACCCCCTTTTCACCATTTCCAGACATCAGAGTTGTTCAAGTGCTAACCAACAATTGGCTTTTTAGTGGCGAGGTTGGTTAAAGGATCTTCAATCAGAGCAGGTAAAAGGTCAGTTGCCTACCTAGGTAGATATATTGAAGTCTTCGTTTCTAGCCCTGAAGCAGCCACACGAGACTTTCTACCCACAATCCAGACCTAGATAACCTCAAGTCTATTCTCCCAATTATATTCTCCCTAAAATCCAAAAAGCTATCGCTAACACTTTACGCTCTAGGCGTCCCGCCGTTAGTAGTACCCTCAGTACCTGCCGCCGGATCAACAATTCCTACTGCTATTTGGGGCGATGCTCTAGTCTCTAATCCTTTTAATGCATATCATGCCTCTGGAGATCGTAATGCTTTACGAGAGCAATACACTGGCGCAAAAGCGTGGCTCGACGATGGCATCCCTAGAAATGAAGCCGGCTTGTGGAATCGTTCAAACTTTCAGCTAGGTGATTGGTTGGATCCTAAGTCTCCGCCGGACGAACCGGGCCGCGCCACTACGAGCTCTACATATGTTGCCGATGCATATCTCGTCTATGTGACCGGATTGGTTGCAGAGATGGCCTCGGAACTTGGGCTTGATGACGACAAAACCCGCTTCGAGAAATGGGCTAAAGATCTCAAAACGGCTTTCAGAGAAGCCTGGATAGATCCCGAAGGTATCGTCGCCAACGAGACACAAACAGGCCTCGCATTGCCGCTATACTTTGATATATTCGAGAGCGAGGCTCAAGCCAACGCAGCGGCTAGTAGGCTAGAGAAAATTATCGTAGATAACACATACTTGGTTGGAACTGGTTTCTCGGGGACGCACTTGCTCGGCCTTACTCTAACCAGATACAATCTTACCGATACCTTCTACAAAATGATAACCCAGACAACGGTCCCCTCTTGGTTGTACCAGGTAGAAATGGGTGGAACTACGACGTGGGAACGGTGGGATAGCCTCCTCCCCGATGGCTCACTCAACCCCGGGGAGATGCTATCCTTTAACCATTACTCGTTTGGCTCTGTAGCAAACTGGATGCACCAGGTTATTGGTGGCTTATCCCCAGCGAAGCCGGGATGGAGGAGAGCTAGGGTGAACGTCGAGCCAGGCGAGAACATAACTTGGGCTAAGGCGAGTTATTTGAGTCCCTACGGCAAGATATCAACGGACTGGAAGGTTAATGACACTGGATTCCATCTGGTGTTAGAAGTGCCACCAAATACAGATGCGGAAGTAGTACTGCCTGGCGAAAAGCGTACTATATTAGTCGGAAGCGGTAGCCACAGGATTTCTGACCCTACATTTCATCTTTGATGTTAGCCAGCAGTATATAGCATTTGAACTTGAGGGTATTGAGCTACTGAGCTATTGAACGTGAGGTACCCAGCTCTTGTATATATGCGGGTTATATAGTTTTACGTGAATCTTTCCTCAACACCCTCCTTGGCCAATATCCCGCAACCAGCGGCCAATCGTCTCCCTTTTAGATCGTTCCCAGCAACTCTCAATTCCTCGTTTCACGTTCTAACACACAACATCTTGCAGCTGACTACCGTCAGGGTCAGGGTCTTTTCCTAATCATTTCTCTGGTATTTGCTGGAATTCTAGCTGTCGAGCCATGTCGCTTCATATTTATTTTATAGGGACTTCTTTGAAGCTCTGCCCCTTTTCTAATTCTCAAAATGCTTTCTAGTCGAATAGGCACAGATGCAAGAGAAGCAAGGTAACGTAATTGCCGTTGTTAAGCATTGCATGCGCCGTCTCCAGTTCCCACGGGTACGAAGACCGGCGGTGGTTTTCGTCTTGGAGGTCTCTTGAGAGGTAGCCATGGCGGTCGTAAAGGAGGTAGTTACATCTTTCAAATTCTTTTGACTAGGGCTTAGAAATGAGTAGAGAAAATAGACGGCCGACGTGACATTATATGGAAGATTCTCCAAATGAACACTTGCGATCAAGCGTTCAGTTGACGTCGGTGGCTGTAGTCGAATTTTGATTTGATATGTCATACCGCGCACGTCGGATGCGTTCCACGAATCCATACAGCACCGCTATGGTATATTGGTTGGCTGGCTAAATAAGCATTGCTTGTCAGAAAGGTAGTTGTGATGGGAGTTAAATTCTCGTGACGTCTTCGAGTCATCAGGTAATTGGATTATCAGACCAACCTACTGACACAAAAAGAGTCCCCTTTTCCTGCGTATTTCAACGTTTCTGTGGGTTAATAATAGGCACTACCTAATCTATGCAGTCCCCATCCAAATGCCAAGTAATTCTAAGAGTGGCAGATGCTTCTTAATGAGTAAGTAGCTGGTAAGTAACTGACACTATCGTGTATGCTAAATTGGGAGATACATTCATTACCTTACTATTTATGCTTGCATTCACTAGACATCGGATAGGGGCGCACCATAAGTAATCCCACCCTAGCGTGTTGATGATGATGAATTCGTTTCCATTCAGTTGGCACGTAGTACCGAAGCAGAGCCAGATCATCACCTGACAAGAAACACATCAGCAAGTTGAATTGTGTCGGAGTAAAACTCATAACTCATATATACACTACCCGCTCCATTCACTCAAGTTTAGAGTGGTTTACTTGTGCAAAGTAGTGTAGTCAGGACAGAGAGTGCGTGTATGTTTATATATATTCAGGTACTTAATCCCATATTTTAAATACCAAAGTCGAGAACAAGTGACTAGGTTAAGACATTCGTGCTAACAAGAACGCCAACTTGAATCTATATATAATAGATAGAAAGCTCTAAGGATGCTCCCTCTTACTACAACAAAAACCCCTCTACCGCCACTCATCTATATCACTTCTCCAGTTACGTTAAACCCCATCTTGGCATCAAACAATCAAAGGACCACTTAACCAAGCCAGCACAGCTATTACCCTCTTGGCAAGCTCGTCATGGAACTTGGAATCGATCCTGGGAAGAAGGGTGAAACTCCCCAGCTTCATACCCTGCCTCTTGAGCTCCAGGCTATGATCGTTATCGGTATGGCACCCCAGCACTTTCGGAAGGCCTTCTTCACATGCCGTTTGGTATGTCGAAGGCTCAAGGAGGCCACGGACCTTGCTTTCAGGAATAAATTCGTCCCCTCGCTCCAATTTGCGATTTTTCTAGATGAAGTTACCGTGGCTCGTAAGTCCGGGCGTCAGATAGCCGTCCATGAAGATGCTTCTATCAGAGGAGATTTAGATTTTACCTCATTTTCCGAGGATAATACTCAGGCTATCTTATCTTACGTCCCTAGTTGCGGTGTTGATACACTTGACGATACCGTGTTGTCAGATGACTCAGAAGTTCGGTTCAGGCCTCTTCGATTTTGGCCACTACGTCCTATTTTTGGCCTTCTTTGGCGAGGTACCATGGAGCGTTACCAAGTTCGGACTACAGAGGATGGATATACCAAGCCTTGTCTCAGGATCTCTGGCATGTTGTTCCATTTACCATATATAGACGACATCAAGTTCGACCCTGAAAAAGTCGAGCTCAGAATCCCCTGTGTTAGACTTGCGGCCTGCTTGTTCCCCAGACAGAATGCGTTTGGGGAACAACTCAAGCTAATGGCATGCCAGGACCTTGAGGCCACCCGTTGGAGGATTTCAATCCCATCTGTAGAACAAGGGCTACGAATTGCCTTGCGTTCGAATGTCGTGCGCGTCGAACGATTCAAAACATGCTTCGAAGCGGCTTATTGGGAATACTCACGCCAGTTTCGAGAGGAACCATGCCAGTACTGGGCTCTCCCTTATACTTATGAGAATTCCGATCCCCTCGATTGGTACCTAGAATGGGCCGAGTACGTTAGAATAAGCTTAACGACTCATTGAATATGATCTGGCGCGAATAGACTTCCACTGGGTTAATATCTGTAATGTTCTTTTATCTTGTAGGTACGCACGATAGTATTAAAGAGTATTAAAGGCCAGAGCATCAATATGGTTTCATGATTTACCATAACTACCTATCTTCTAAACCCTTTACCGTTTCGAAAACAATATTGTGATATGCGCATAAATTGAAAGTGGAAATAGGGGTAAGAACTGGGTCACGTACGCAGCTGACAATAAGTCTGACGGGCCGCCGACAGCACTAAACGTTTATGCCATTTAACTATGCCATTTGAAGCCAGCTCCCAGGGGGTCACCATCTTCCCTTCAGTCTACTAAACCAAAACTCATCACAAGCAAGATACTCAAATTTCGATAACAAAATCCGTTCGCCCGGCCTCATCATTCCCATATGTTATAGTAACGAACGAACGACCTTTTCCCGAATTGCACCATCCCTCCCAAAGAGCCCCACCCGCAAGATGTCCGGCGTCGACTCCCCCGATGTCCTAGCCGCATACGACGCGGTACGCTCGGACAAGGACGCGACGAACTGGCTGCTACTCTCGTATGCGAGTGCCGTAGGCGACAAGTTGGTACTCTCGGGAACCGGCAGCGGAGGATTGTCGGAGGTGGTGTCCAAATTAGACGACTCCCAAGTTAATTACGCGTACGTGCGAATCGAATACAACAACGATTCGGAGAGCAAGCGTGTCAAGTTCGTGCTCATCGTATGGATCGGAGAAGGCGTCAAGGTGATGCGCAAAGCCCGCGTGTCCATAGAGAGCTCAAACGTGAAGAAGGTGCTGTCGCATCACTCTATAACAGTTGACGCTCGTGATCGAGGCGATCTTGACGAGAAGGACATCGTGACTAGGCTGCGGAGAGCTGGCGGTGCTGATTACAACGGCGGAAGAGGCTAAGAGAATTAGACAGACGTTTGGAGGAAACCATATACGGAGTTAAGGGGTTGAGCGAATAGAGGATGCTAGGGGATGTGGCGTGTTTATCTCGGTCGCATATATATATACACAATAAATGGACAAGCACTTGGTTCTTGCGTAATTAGATATCTAACCCTTGATGGGTTCTCCGTTCCAGCCGGTAAGATTCACTACGTCTGGAATCCTCCCGCTCCGCACGATAGTCCAGACGACATCCTCGTCGCTGTCGTTGACCTCTTGGTGTTCCATGTACGCAGGGATGAGGGCAAAGTCCCCAGTTTCCAAGTCTACCCTTTTTGCTCCCCCTTCGCTAACGACTGTTCCGCGTCCCTTGACAGCATAGACTATCGTGTCTTGTTCTCCGTGATGATGGACTGCCGAGGCCGTATGTGGTTTTGCAAGCATGCTAGTGGCGCAGATGCCGTCGCATTTGTCAACTATCGCATTGGAGCGGATCATTCCCTCTGTCTGCGCTCCCGATGCTTGGATATCTGAGGCCTTGATGGATTGGACCGGTTGCGATGGTTCGGGATGAGGCATGGTGGTGGAACTGGTTGATGAAGCTTGGACGATACGATGTCTACAGACTTTGAAGTTGAATGAATCAGCCACTGACGTCCTGAGCTGCATAGAGGCGGCACATGTACTACGTCGACGGTTCTTTCCTGTCTTACAATTAGGTACATCCTACATAATATACATTTGAATAAGGTAAGGTACATGTAGATACAATATACCTACAACTACCGGGTAAGTGGCTTAGTCACGATGATAACATTGTGGGTTTATCGCGGCAGTGTGCATTAGCGGGATGGCGGGGCAGACGGGGCCAGACGGGGCAGCCGGGCTCTCGCAATTCATCCACCTCCAAGTACCTCTTCATACATCAGCATCCAATAAACCGCTAACAAATCATCAACCGAACAAGCATCAGCCCGGGCAATTTCATAATACCACATCGTGCCATTTCTAATATGGATATCTCAAATCCCCGTCGCATATTAGCCGTGTCCTTAGCAGATTCGACTCACCACTTAACCAAGGTAATCAAAGGTAAATTCATAAAGCATACCTCCAATATACTTTGGTTATTATCCCTCTCTATTTTGAAACTGATAGAACCCAGCCTCATTCTACATATACGAACCATGAATTGCCTCGATCATTAAAACTAACCTTCGACTAGACCTCACCGGTACTCATCCAGAGCAGACCTCAACGTCACTAGCCGGTTCATCGCACAACCTCTCTTTAAAAACAGCATATTATACAGCCGAAGTGCCCATATGGTTAGACCTCATATCATCACCCTCAGAATGGGCCGGTTCTTTCTTATCTCCCGAGGCCAAGGAGGTCCTTGAGGTTCTAGGCGGAATTGTCGTAGTCTTTTCGCTGCCAGTCAAGTCGCAGACGGATGAGATCAAGGCCGCGCAGGAACTCATCCAGAATGTGGGCAAGGTTGTCAAGGACGGGCTTGGCGGCTGGTCCTGGGACGGAGTCGGTTTGTGTCTGGGCGTCGGAGAAATAGACGATGTCGATGAGTGGGAAGATTGCTGCGCCGAATGGGGTTTGGAGTTCGTACAGGTCAAGAATCAGTCCGTGTCAACACGAAACGAATTCGGTGGTACGTTTTGTCTCTGCTGCGCCCGTATCCGGCAGGATCGGGAATAAAAGGTGAGAGACTAACTGGGCATGCAGAAAAAGCCGGCATCCCTCGTGCCCTGGAAGCGCTGGAGTCAAACGACTGGTCTCATACGTCCGTCGACGACCTTGGGTCTGATTTCGAGGACTTTGAGGCGGAACTAAACATCGGAAATGGCGGCAATGGTAAAGACAAAGATGGGCCTGATCTCGACCCAGAAAATCTCGATTTTGGGTTTGACCGAGAGGACTTTGCCGGTCTCAAACAAGCGATATGGAATTCCGGGAAAGGCGAGGATTTCTTAAACGGAGAACCGAGCACGGACACCAGCAAGAAGGATGACGGAGAAGATATGAATGATGAAGAGATCAGGAAGATAGAGCGCATGATGGTTAAGCTGCAGGCTGTACGCGATACGAGTGCCGGGCTGCCAGAAGATCAACGTAAGCGGGTAGCCGCGAAGGCGGTGGCCGAGGTCATGAAAGAACTATGAATACCAACTAGCCTTGCTTTTTCGTATCTACAGAGGACATCTTCTGGGGATGTGAGCTGCTACAGCTACTTATGGGTATGCAACTCACCTACACTAGAGGATTAACACCGTCGTAAAGGGGTTCTGGCTATATTAAGCATTCTAATACTCTTACGAACTTATGCCATACCCATTGCTAGCAAAAATACTAATATCAAGGAGTCGTTAGCCGGATAGTTCTGTTGGCTAGGAACCTAAGGCAGCCAAGATATACCATATGGTAGAATTCGTATAAATTAAAAGCTCAAAAGTCAGCATTTACTTTGCAGATGTTTCTCCCACGAGGTACGCATATAAATTTACGTACCAGCCCAGCTCTCAAAGTTCGTTTAGGCGGGCCGCAACTTGGATATGTGATATGCCATCACAGCCATAACAGCGACCAGCTTATAGCTCTTATGCCATTCGCTAGACTTATGAATAGCCATATTAGTTGTGTCTCCATTCAAACACAACGAGTCCAGTTAGTGTAGCCACACATTCACTCTCTATTAGCTATACTTAAGGCTATTTTAGATACGTTGTAATGATGGTGTACAAGTTAATATTACTTAAGTTCATCTCGTATACCTTTGCAAGAGCTGGCCACTATTATATCAGCATCACTTAATAACATTTACGCTGTTTCTTAGCTCGAAAGAGTGTTCTTAAATTCGGCCGTTGATCCCGAGTTCATCTTTGAGTTTAGATCAAGAAATATGAATCGCGATACTACCGAGGTTACTATAATACTTTATGCTTAACATATTATAAAATGACGTCTTGAATCCATCCCTATATACCAGGACGACTTTGCACTTATATAACATTATAAGATGCCTCTTCATACAACACTATGCGTATCACGAAACCAAAACCGAAGTTTCTACCCCGTTGTTGAACGGTAAATGTTAAGAATCCGTTACTACTTAACTACCTGCCAAGGTAGTTAAATCTTTGTTATGTTACTGGGATTTAGTTATATTTCTTTGCGTGCTGACTTGGAAGCCTCACTATTATGAATAGGATTCTCCAGGAATAGAAGACGCGCATCGACCACGAGATGCCAACGTTGCTTTCGGTACCCACTGATCGTTTCATGCCCATGGAATTTGACCCCAGGTTGCCCGGGCACGTTCTTACTAGGGCTTAGATCCGAGCGATTACCTCGCTTGAACTATTTACGGTGTCGCCGGCACGAACCATATGCGGTTAACAAATCGGACTTATGCCTCATAAGGCTGGCGTCTTACAGAACTTGTGGTCACAGCAGACGAGGGAGTGGTTTGATTGACCGGTTATAAGTACATAGATATCGACCGCCTTCCGACCACGATATCCCGCCGCAGAGTCTGAAGCACAACCGGGTATTTAATACGACGGCAATCAACCTATACATAAAAGGCCAGCAGAGACTATGATGTCAATATCAGGCGCCAGACTCTGACCACTTTATAGAAGCTTCAGTTTGTTTCCAAGTGGGCACATCTTGGCTTCAACCCAGTTCAAAGGGCACAGTCTACGAAGAGGCCTTGTACATAGTGAACAAAAACGATCGAAGGCATCGTTCGAGGCGCTATTTGACCCTGGAATAGGCAAGGTGCGGTAGAGTGCATGGTGAGGACCTTGCCCATTTTACCATTTCGAGAGTAGCCCACGATGCTGATTCTCTTAACAGAGCAGTCTAAGCGGGGACGTCTATGTATGTGACGCCGCAGGCCTACCTTGTCCGCGAGGCAGAAGCTGAGGCCACGAGCCGGGATTGCGAGCAATTTTGCTCTTCTAAAACCTCCGAACCATTTTCTAGAACCATTGAGTCATGATATGTAGATGTCCAATGCAAATGGGCCGATAAATCTACAACGGCACGACTCTGCATACGCTAAATACATATCGTACCATCCCATGCTGCAACCCGTATGGAGGAAATGAGAGCTGGCCAAGAGTGGTCAGATATCAATTCGCCCATTAATTTGATCTTGCGTAAAGGGCTGTACGAAGGCGCTCTTCAAGTGTCTTTACTGGATTTCTCTTTTGGTAAGCTGCAGCTCTAGCACGATACGATAATAGAACGTACCTAGGTCTGTGCAAAAAATACATGGCGAGGAAGGACCTCTGGATTCGCTAACCACCAGAGCGATCTTTCATGCGCTTACAAGAAGGATGTGATAGACTGTGCTGTGAAACCATTGGCTGGAGAGGCCAAACCGAGTATCAACTTCATGCATAATCTGGGGACCGGGTAGTGCTACGGGTTGATGCATGAAGTCGCGAGTCTTAAGGGCATGCCGGGCATCTATGCCCGAGATGCTACTCGCTCAATTAGGACCTACGTTGAAATGTAGCTTTTACACATGTTACCTTAGGTACCTATGGTATTCATAACCAGCGCCTGCATAGGTAATACAAATTGGATATTTGTCGACTGTTCAGTGCCATGCTTGGATTTAGATAAAAGCATTATTGTCCCTCTTCGAAGCTTTCAGATATTGTTCTATTACATACCTAGGACCCTGTTGCGAGATGACGGGTGAGATACGCTAAATACCGATATAGCCTGGTGTACTCATACTACGGTGCTGGCCGATCTCTAATACGATCTGTAATACGATCTCTAGATTCGCCTATTTGTGTTCGAAGCCTTGGCTCAAAATACGATGTTAATGAATATGAGCAAGCGTGGATAGAACTCCTCGTATGCTTTTCTACCAACGTCCGCATAACTTAACTCCGTCCACTGCCGAAAGACCGAAGATTGCTCGATGATGTACTCCGTATTGTACTCCGTACGTGTGTGTGCTAAGGAAACATAAAACGATACCGGCCGAACCCTTAAGAAACTAGTTCAGGCCAGGCCGTCAAGCTAACCAGTCGGGAGAGGGTCAGCCTGATAGACGCCCGCGTGCACGGTGCATGATCGACTGGACAAAAGCAGAAGTCAGCTTCCTGGGCGCATTCTCCTTTATGCGAGCTGTAGCTCGATAACCAGCAAGGGTCGTGGAATGCGCCTGGTAACAAGTTGGATGCGTCGCGGTGCTTGTCCGAACCCACACATATTACGCAGAAACGATGACATATGCTAGTCCAAGATCCGGGTTCGGCTGAACATCTTCGTGGATCTTCCCTTTACGCTTGTAAGAACTGCTCTTTCCCGTCTGTCACATTGGAGGCTGAGACTAATAACCTGTTTCCTGTAACATCGATAAAAAGCCCAGGCGCGTTTGTGGAGGGTAGGGCATTGGAGGGTGCATACGCCGGCGGGAATGTATTTTCTCTGCAAGGTACAATACCGACGGGACGCGTGACGCCCTCTGCTGGTTCACGACTCAGGGGTAGCAGCGCTAGTGCCAAGTATGCAACGCTAACTTGCAAGGGGGTGGTCTTGGGCTTATGTGAGAGGTATGTATGCATATATCTCGATCCGCCGGGCACTGTGCTGAGCCGTGAGGATTAGGGTTATTCTTACGATCCGAGTTGTTTCGTTTGACCTGGTATGCTAAGAGGAGTCTATGTATGTAATGGTACGGTTGATGTTGTAAAGAGCATCGATGATGAGCCTTACTCTTTACAGCCGTACAGCTGATCCCCTGAAGGTTAAGAGTCGAGATCTACCTCGTTTTTCGGCTGTAAGTGTCTCAAGTCGCCTAAACCCTAACCTCGCTGATACTTGGCGAGTCCAAAGTTGTTCCTTACCGGGACGCGAGGGAATCGTAAGGGATCCTTATCCTGCGACTTAACCTCTTTGGCAGCAAGGCAAGAATACGCTATTAGCGGATTATTATGGTGAACCTGCAAAGGAAACGTTGCAGAATAGATAAGCCGTTGGTGTCGTCGATGCGCATAAAGACACCGCGGCTAGTTTCATCGAGATGGTCGCCTTAGCCCGTATTTCAACTCATACATAGTTGACTTGTAGAGCTTTCTAAGCGTGAGTGTAAAAGTGATCTTCCTCGCGCATACCTACTATGTATGCGACCCCTCCAACAAGAGGCCAAGACTTGGGAATCGCGGGCGATGAACGGATAGGAGAAGAATGTGCTACACAGTGCGCTATAAGTAGCGGCACACGAAGCCGACTCCATGCTACTGCAGGAACACGAAGGATGGTTGTGCAGTCCCGCCGTGCTACTGGCTCGCCAATGCAGGTACTGATACCCACACAGTCCTACTTCTCATCAAGATCTCCTCCCGAAAGGAAATCCGAGGGAAGAAAAAGGTCATCATCGGGCAATGTAATCTGTATAGTGCTATACATATTAACTATATTATGTTATGTATTTCTTCTAAATTCTGATGACGCGCTGGGCGCTGGCGGGGAAAAGCATGGACCATTCCGTAGTTCAAGCCACTGGTTCCTTAAGAGGGGCCGCGGGCTGTTCGGACGCGGTCAACCGCGTGAGTGTCTTGACTGTTGCGGAAAAGTGTATGCAGGGATGAGATGACTGGACTAGGCTGGCTGCTAGATCCCACTAGGCTTAGAATCGGTAATCGAGCAGGCAGAATCCAAAGAGGCTATTCATATCCACGGCTGGACTTTGTTAACGACAAGAATAGATACTACATAGTAGATATGTAGTTCTTATGAACGCTGAGTGGCGAGGCGAAGACTTTTATCATTATTGGGTACGTGCCAGGCGTTTGCGCTGGCCGGTCAGCTCAGTTCGGTGTCAGGTCAGACGACTAACAAAGGTATTCTTGGCCCTTGACCCCCCCCTTTTCTTGCATAAACAGTCTTGCCGTTCGTGGAGCGATATCAACGCAAGGGTTTCTCATTGGCTTTAAAACATACGCCGTCAAACAACCCCCACCATGACTGGGATGGACAGGATGGGATCGTCATCTAGGTTGTTCAAGGCAGGACGCTTAATCGTGCGTTTGACATCCAGCCCGAAGCAGCGCATTTTTGCTAAGTATCTTCCGTTACGTACGGCCAACTACATACTTATTCACGTGAGACGGCGCGTGGGTCGAGTTTTTCACTC